ATGATCTTTCGTCCATCAAAAAACAAAATTATGACCACACGACCAGTTAACCGAAAACAACAAGGACAATTACAAGCGCCAAAGTCGATGTTGAGAAAAGTAAGCAACAATAGACATCGGAACTTATCACTTGAGTGTCAAACGTAACCTAGGATTGGATTGGCTTTGCTTCATTTTGCTCCGCGATTGGTCCGCAGATCACCCACTCAACATTCAAAGGTAAGAGCAAACGCGACTTGGTCATTCGCGTTTTCCCGCGCTTCAGGCGGTGTGCCAACTGTCACCTCAATATCAACCATTTTTCCCAACGGCCATTATGCTAACATTGATTTTGGTCGCACAGAGCTCAATAAGAATACGCTCTAACAAAAGCTTTACCTTCACAAAACTGACTTGTGGGATGAACAGCCAAACCTTCTGTGCATTGATCGGATACTGATGCTGTAACAAGGTACAAAAGACTGACGTTACACTTGACTGTTAGTAATTCTTACCGTCTTGTAACTGGAATCACGCGGTAACTTAGGTAACCATTGATTTTCTCTATTTTTCTCCATCATGTTACATGCATTTATAATGATTTTACTTAAAATAGTTCGAACTCTCATGACTCAAAGATCCTGCAAGCTTGAAGTAACTATCATCAACATTAGAAGGTATGGTAGTTTCTTTAATCACTTGTTTCTTTCCTGTTGCTTGATTTCGTTAACAAACCATCGTTCCACTTGTAACCCTTGCTGTTTAATGAATCCCATTAAATACACAATCATTACTCGTGTCAGTCACTTCTCCTCATCCCCAGATGACTCCAATTCTCCCACTAACTCGAACATTTCATCACTGACCAAGTCAGCCACAACCAGTTAACTGCACTCCAGGGTGATTTTAGCATAAAAGCAGAGAAATGACAGCGTACGTACCTCTTTGAATGGATGACCTCATATCTACCTTCAGCGTATCAGACTGAGGAAAGCTGTAATCCACAGCAGAAACTTGTACGGTCTGAGACAGCGACCTGATTCGCTTCTTATCATCAGAAGAATAGAGTATGGAGGAATTACACGAGAAAGGGAAAGGCTTCCCGTTCACATTCATTACCCGCCTGCGAAAAAGACAACGATTGGATAAATTAAATGAATGCGTGCGAAGGCACACAATTTTTGGAGACACACTAAAAAGGGTCTTAAACTTAAACGGCTCTTACGAGAGTCAACAGTTAGCCTATTCGATACTCTCCGTCGTTCGGCAGCCGCTTCCCTGACAACCTAAGTCACCGCGCGTGCGTTTGCCCGCCATTTTTCACGCGTTGCTTTTTTGCTCGTCTGCACTGACTATTTTCGCGCACCGCTTTTCCCTTTTCCTTGAACAATTATTTCCTCGACACATAGCACTAAGCGTGTCTGACCACCAGTCAAGAAAATTGTGAAAATTTTCCAAAGTTTCCGGAGTAATAATTTTGAATAGAACTCTCTGTTCCTTTTCCCTTCCTTAGTTTCATATTCTCATCGTTTCACCAATCATGTTCAAAGACCTTGAAATTGAATCTGAAGTCAACAAGTACACTGGTTTTACTTTTTCATCTTTATGTTGTTAAGTTTGAATTTTCGTTAACTTATACTTGTTGTTTAATTTTGTTTTTGGAGTTCAAGACTGTTCAAAAGTTTTCTTTCCACTCAAATGCATTCAATTTAATACTTCCTGTACAAAGCAGTAAACGGAGTTTGGACTCTAACATCTTAAACGAAAAAAGTCACATTGATAATTTGAAGTTGAAATAGGAAGGTTACAAAAGAAACTTACTGTAATGCAGAGCTTATTTCTCCAACGCCCGTCTGAACAAACGTTTCTGCAAAGTCCGGAAATTTGACTTCAGCATCAGATGCAATCTTAGGCGTTTTTCCTTTGATGTCCACATCCACCACAAACACACCCTTTTCATTAACCCCTTTTCCATCGTGTTCAATAAGCATGGTTTCCCCTGAGCTAAAATGCACCCAAGTCTTGTACACAAAGCGCCCTTTTGTGATGGTAAGACCATTCTCCGCATTAGGTTTCTCTTCCGCTGTAGCCCAGTAGATTGGGGCGGTTAATGGAATGGACAATGTCTTGAGCCAGTTTCTGATTGGTCCAGGGAGTCCGCTGATAGAACACGATACTTGAGTCTCATTGGTTGGTGTCTCAGTGAGGTTAGCCAATAGGAAAAGGGTTGGTAACATCACGTTATTCACGGTTCCGTGAACTTGTCCGATAACGACTCCGACGCCATCTAAAAAAGAGGTTATCACTTAATAATTACTCCTTTTGCGGGTGACAACGAACAAAACCACTTCAAGCGCCACTAATTTGCACGCATTCCTCATGAGCACTGTGTTGTCCGCCGTGGTGAAAATGAAGACAGCTTGGTAGAGGCAGCTTGTTAATTTCTTTTATTTCAATCGCTTACGATTGTTATTTCAACGAAAAGGACCCTGTCTGCACAGCAAGAAAACCAAAAGAAGGATTACAACTTTGAAAGAGCGTAGGATTACGAGGTGTAATCCTTCTGCTTGTAAAAGGTTGTTTATCATTTGTCAAAGACCTCTTTCAGTTATCGCCTACACTCACAGTTTGACTTTTTCCTTTTTTTTGTATTTTAAGCGGTTTTTTTTTAAGTGTCGCACATTCAGAAATGCTTTCTTTTTCTGCGTCCCTGAACTGTCTGCCACGTAAATTATGCACGTAAAACCTCCATTACAAGAAAATCTTTCCCAGGTATTGCCTTACCAGGACATGCGAAAAGGTTACAGGGTCTAGTTTCCCGCTTATCTCCCGAGCAGTCATTACCGCCGTGCTGTGGGGCTGGGTTATTGCACTCTCGGGACCGAGTCTGTTCACCGCCATTGCAAACTTTCGAACACAGTGTCCATTCTGTCCACGTGGACCAGTTTCCGTCCACTGAAAAAGAACATCCAAGAATAAAAAGCGAATGGGGAAAAGCATAAGCATGAAGATGGGTGGCAGACAAGGTTTCCTGATGTCTAACACCATCTACTGTGTTCTTGCGTAAGACACTTAATTTACTCTCTTCAGTAAACCCGGGAGCTCTGTTGCCTTCTTGTGAAAATTCTCGTTATCTTAGCGTCACACCTTTTCCTACTGTCTTGAATGTTTCGTTTCTGATTTAAGAAGCAACGGGAAATCCATACACCAAAGATTACGGCAGTCTCCCCATGTGTTCGTACTTACACGACTTAAACACCGGCTAAAACACCAGAAGAGCACTTTATGAATGTCACATGTAGCTGTTCTCGTTTTTAGCTCATGGACACCTCCACTTGCTTGGTTTAGACTCGAGGCTTACTTTAGAACCTTTGATCAAAGAAGCCTTCAGTAAAAGTAGCACGATAATGACAGATCACATCGCACTTACCCGGACAAGATTGCACATTACAAAGCTGCGACTGTACATCATTCCCTGGGCAAAATTTACCGCCGTTACTGGGCGCAGGATTATCACATGACCTGAATCGAAACTGGAACCCAGATCCACACGAACTACTGCAAAGACCCCACTCTTGCCACTTGCTCCAATTCCCATTCACTATGAAAAAGAAGAATAAACTTAAAAAATAATAACAATCTTATCACAACAACAACAACAAAGGAAGAGTCACAGAAAACGAAAAGAATACGACTGATACAAAGCACTTTTTTTAACGATAACATTTTCATTTTTTTAATATTGAAGAATTTAATCAAGACTATGACCAAATCATTTAAAAAAGTGAAAAAAACATCCTGGCTGATCTCTTTGGGAAAACCTTAGTTTTATCGGTTATCGATTTTAGTGGGAAAGCTGTTTTCTTATTCAGAGAGAGTGTCTCAACATTTTTGCGACTGGTTGTAGCTGTATGAAACGAAAAAAACGGAAAAAGAATCTCACCTCGAACTGTGAGTGTTGCTTGAACAACGCGAGTACTGACGCCATTATCGGCCCGACACCGATACTGTCCTCCATCTTCAGACTTAACACCTCTAATTACCAGACTGTTATTAGCCAGGACAATGAAATGCTCAAGCTGATCCACAGGCTGTCCATCCTTTACCCAAAATAACACAGGGGTTGGTTTTCCTGTGGCTGTACAGTCCCATACAAAAGTTGCACCTTCATCTATTATGGTGTCCTGAGGTGTATCCACAAACTCTGCAGAAATAAGTAGGTCAATTATTAACAAACACAGTCAAATCTATATTTTCGGACAACCACACTCTCCCTGGGAGACCTTTGGTGATGCTGTTAAAACGGAGCATGTAACAAAGTTTTTTCCCTTCTTTTTTTATCACTGTATCCTTGGAACGTTTATTTATGACTATTATGAGACAAGTCTTCGATAAAATTTTAGAATTAATAATAACAAAAGCGTCAGGCTCAGAATAAGATGACCGAGAAGCCCGAGCAGCCCTCATCACAAACGCTGCTGGACGCGCAGATTGGAGACGAGTTGGGGAGAGTAAAGAGGTGAGTTTCTAAAGAAACTGTGGTAGTTGGGGAGAGGTTTGCCGGGGTCTGGCACTATTAGCGCCAGGCCGTTTGAAGACCTCTCGCTGGCGTGCTTTGCTCGAGGCATCATACTTTCCTTCGTGCCGAAGCGCTATTAATGAGAGTCTGCTATTTAAGCCTTTGATCTTGATAAGAAAAAAATTTGTAACAAATTAAATATTACCTGGCCCTCCTGTTTGGGCAACGTTTTCGTCTTCTCCTGCGAAACATAGAAATAAAGCAAAAATGTGCATTACAAGGGCAACATCTAGCTCCTAAGCAAAAGAAAATGAAGGAAACATTTCCACTGAGGACAAGATTCCAGTGGATTAACGCTTTCGCTGTTAAGATCTCATTAGTAATTCTCCTTACTGTCTGCCGTACAAATCTCATAATGTTAGTTTGAAGAATTTGGTATTGGATCAACTACTAATACCCTTATTGATATTTCTTTTCATTCTCATCACTTGTCTGTTTGACATTGTATTGAAATTGTAAAGAGAACTTCTGTTTTGGTCACACATTGGAGTTAAAGAGTTAATGAGATATGTCATGACCGCACATAAACTCTTTTCAAATCTTTTTTTTTCAATTTCAGCTGCTTACAACTGTCTTTACAAATTAAGAACAAGTAAATCAAATATCGTGTTTCGTTGAAAAAGCATAAAGCATAAGTATACTGATGATAAACTTCAGTAGCTTCGAAAATTTTTCAAAATTTTACTAAACTGAATTTTCCTAAACTGCGAAACGTATGTCAGTAGCACTACAGCTAAACACTTCAAAGTTATAGTAGTTTGCATTGTACAGACCTTTCACTGCAACCCAAGCACTAGCCGTAACATTCCCAGCCAGGTTCTCAGCCTCACAGCGATACATCCCTTCGTGTTCTGATTTTCTGGCTTCGGTGATCTCCACCAGCGAAATATTAGCCACCACTGTACTACCATTCCGGTACCAAGTGATCCGTGGCACAGGGAACCCACGCGCTTCACATTCCAAAATTATGGTGTCGCCCTCGTTGATGGAAATATTTTGAGGACGCTTAATAATCTCGGGTGGAACTGCAAGGAAAAAGGAAAGCTTCCGGATATTGTAATTTTAGGCCATGTTTCAGGTGCGTCATTTCTATCCCTCCTAACATTTTCATCTTTAACCCTTTCACTCCCAAGATCTCATTAGTAATTCTCCTTACTGTCTGCCATATAATTCTTGTGATGTTAATTTGAAGAATTTGGTATTGGATCAGCTAAATTACCAAAGTGATATTTTTCTTTACTCTCATTACCTGTCTAATTAATATTGCATTGAAATGGTGAGGAGAAATTCTATCTTGGTCACTCATGGGAGTTAAGGGTTGATTATCCTTGTTCCCCTCGGAGTTTTTCCCGCCTCTTTGTCGTTTGTCCATCTAAAGAAACTTTTATTTCCAGGCCACCTCCATAAAAACCATCTCAAAGAAAGAAAGTTCTTCTTCTCACCTTGCACAAAGAGTTCCACTGGCTGCCTAGCCACACCGAGCGGATTGGAGGCCACACATGTGTATGTTCCACTGTCCGATGGTTTTACTTCGAAAATACGAAGACTTCCCGATGGTAGAACGAGATACTTCGGGTTGCTCGCACCGATGGGAACATCTTGTCGTAGCCAAGTCAGTTTGGGCTTTGGGTTTCCACTTACATTACACTTCAATTCCGTCCAACGTTCAGAGGTAACTTTCACAGGAGATATGGGCTCTATACTGGGTGAAGCTGCCAATAAATACAATACAGGAGTATATGGTAGAGCATTTTCAATTGAGTACCGAAAGTAATACGAGACCGCATTGGTTTTACTTTATTTCTCTCTGTGATTGGTCCAGAAAACTCGCGCCACTCTTTCAACCAATCAGAGGTCAAACTAAAAACGATTATTACTTGGTCGCCCGCGTTTTCCCGCTTTAAATAACCAGTTTGGTTGTTTCTCCTTTAAGTTGCCATTGGCTCTTAAAAGTATTTTCCTCTCTTCTGATTGGCTCTTGTGATTACTTTGGTTTTGGTTTTACCTCACCTCACACGTTTTACGTAAGGCGCTCTAAGTGATGTAACGCTTAGGGACTTGAGGAAGACACGATTGCATGCATGACTATTGATTAACAGGCTGGACTTCACACCCAGTGGTTCCAACCCTAGTCGAGTGAACTGTGCATTGTTCTTTTAAGAGACACTTCATTCTGACGGCGTGGAAGGGGGGAGGGGGGGGGGGGGGAAGAGAATCCATAAGGCTCAATTATATATAATGTTCTTATGACCCTCCCCGGCATTGGCAGTTAATTGGCAGTCGATGTTCAATTGTCTTCGTTTTATAATCTGTTTGCAACGACTGATTCTCCCTCCGTTCCCCCTGAAAACCACGTGATTCCCCCCCCCTGATCCTAGGCAAAAAATAATGAATGGTCCCTAAGCACATAATTTTATAGGTACTCACCCATGACAGAAAGCGTCGCAGTAGCAGTGTCATTTCCAGCCATATTCTCGGCAACACATAGATACACCCCAGTATGTTGTAAAGATAAGCTGGCTATTTCAATCACAGAACCATTGTATGGAAGAGGTTTATTGTTCAAGAACCAACGAATACTTGGAATAGGAAAACCTCTTGCAACACATTCCATCAGTATAGAGTCTCCCACGTCTACAGTCAGGTTTGGCGGCGGTCTAATAATCTCTGGGGAAACTAAATGAGACGAAGAAGGAAGTTACGAGCCATACCCTGATGATTCTTTAAGGTCCCTAATTGTTTCGTCTACCTTTTTTAAGTTTTCAGCGCTGAAACTACGAACAATTGTTTGAGTTCGCCAATTATGGAAAACTGTGAAAAATTAACTAATCGATTAATCGACTAAGTATCAAATCAATGTGGGATTGCAATGGTTTTGCTTTATTTCGCTCTGTGATTAGAAAAACCAGCATCACTCGGCTCCCAACCGATTGGATGCAGTTCTCGCTGGTTCTTTGCGGCAATGTCCCTGTTTTCAATGGTCATTCATTACTTTGGTTCTGATTTTAGGACACTCAGTCGAAATCCCCCTTAATAAGTTGGTAATATTTCACTAAAGCCGCTACAGAGATGATTAATCGTAACAGGATACGAACCAAAATGAATTTTAACACTCACTGTACACATAAAGGGTGAGGATAAGAAAATCTTGGCCAGTGGGGTTCTTTGCAGTGCACAGGTAAGTTCCCGAATCAAAAGGTAGTAATGAACTGACCACCAGCGACCCGTCATCTATCTGTTTGAACTTGATGCCGTCCATGGAAATCGGCCGACGGTTCTTCTGCCAAGTGATAGTGGGCCGAGGGTTACCAATAGCAGGGCACCGAAGTCTAACTGTTTTACCTCTGTCGGTAATTATGGTGGTCGTGTCTGGTTTGATAATTGTAGGTGGTGCTGAGGGAATAAAAATGAAGTACAATGAACACATTCCAACTGAAAAAAATAAACTTCCAATAGCAGGACACATCATTTGCAACTTCAACAAGAGCTTACAAGGTGATCTGCGTCACGGGTTGTATTTCCTGAAAAATTGGGTGTAATTTAAAATTTAATCCTTCAAAGCTAATGTTTCGAAGCTTCCTTTGAGTTGTTGGTAATTTTGTATGTCGCAGAAAAACGACCATCTTTAAAATAGAGAAATCTTTCTTTGGCTTCATGCACAGTGTTTTTCCCCAATGGAGAAGATCGTTGCATCATACGCCGATTCTAATTTTGGCAAGAAAATTGCTGCATAAGAGGCTGCGACCCGAGGTCATACATATTAAAATTAAAGATTGCCTCTTATTGCCTGCGATACGCATAGTGGCCTGTTCACTAGACTTCAATGACAGCTAAAGAACTGATAGCAAATAGCCTTATACTAAAATAAATATAACAAACTTACTGAGTCCCGTGAGAATGAGGGCGACTTGAGCTGAATCTCTCCCCAGACTGTTCTCCGCATTGCACACGTATCTCCCTGCATCCTTGAGTTCTATATCCTGTACGAACAAGTCACCTGACGGCAGAACTGTGGCTCGAGGATCGGTGTCAGCGGCAATTCCTAAACTGTTCTGCCAGGTGACACGCGGTTGAGGCACTCCTTTCGCTCGACAAGTGAATGTTACATTACCGCCAAAGGTGACTGTTTTATCTGAAGGTCGAGTTGTTATACTTGCAGGAACTGGAATATAGAATGATAGATTAATTGACACAGAGGAAAAGTGGAATCCTCGTTGAATACGCTAGTTGCCCGCGAACATATTCCAATAAGTTTGGTGTTATTTTCAGTGAGGGAGTTGTACAAGCACACAAGCTGAGGCTTCGACGGGATTCAAACCCAGGCCTCTCAGATACTAATTGGGCGCAACTACCTACTGAGTTACAAAGCCTCACATTGGGAGCGAGGCAAATTTAAGAGGGCTCTTCTTTCCCGTAGAGAAATATGATAAAATCTTGTAATGAAATAAATTTCGTGTCATGGCAAATTTCCGGCATATCGCTACGATCAGCTATCAATTTTCTTTACAAAATCAAATACGCTCCCTTCATACACAAACCTCCTTCTCCCCAAAGAGTAACCAGCGCTCTATCTGTTCCAGCTGGACTCCTCCCAACGCAATGATACTCTCCTACATCCTGTGGGATAGCAGCCCCTATAATCAGTGCTCCATCATCAGTGATGTTGACTCTGTCGTTTGACCTCAGAGGCTTATCATCCTTCACCCATGTGATGGTCGGCATTGGTACACCGACTGCTGCACACTGTAACACCAATGTTTCTCCAAGAATCACAGGAACCTCATCATAGTCGACTGATACGCGTGGAGGAACTGTAAAAATAAAGAAAAACTCAATGAAACAGTCACTCACCTCAAGAAATGATTTTGGTGATCGTCTCGTTTCAACAGACCCAGGGGAGGATCCAAAGTTGAGGGAAGTTCGTGCTCCCATGGTAAGGTGTTTACGCCGTGACCAAGACTGCTCAGGAAAAGTAGAAAGACCCACGGATTCATTGGCAGGCAAACGTCCAGTGAATAATCCAACATTAGTTAGTTTCATGACTGTGCAAGTATACTTGAGCTTTGATCGATGCATGCATGTAATTTGACATCTCACATGCTCCTTGAGAGATTTCCCTTTTCTCAAATTGGCCATTGCTACTGTTACATCGATTTTGATTTTACTACACCTGGCATCGGAAATCTATCTGTCTAAAATCTATCTACCTATCTAAGCCCATCGCTCCTCGTAAGGCATATACTGTCAACAAAAGTCCGCCAAAGACCTCTGTTCGGGGCCATCGTTTCTCATTGGCTCCATGAGTGGCCGGTCATTCTGATCTCAACCTCGAGATCACGATGCCAGGTGTTCCTTGATCGCCCTCTTTAACATCGGAAAGCTCTCTACTAAATCCCCAAGGAAAAAATTCTCAACTCACTCTGCACTTGTATACTTATAGTGACCGAGTCTTCCCCAGCGGTATTGTTACCAAGACACGTGTAATATCCACCATCCTTCAACTCCACAGCATTGATAACCAGATGTCCCTGGCTGCTGACAGCAATTCGCCTACTAGTAGTGATTTTGTCCTGTCCCTTATACCACGTGATCTTTGCCCTCGGTGTACCATTTGCTGTACACTGAATTGTGATGGTCTCACCAGCGTTAGCAGTCATTTCTTCCTGATCTACGTACACCGAGGGTGGTACTTCGGAGAAAACGAGATAAAACGTTACCAAGATCATTGTGGACACTCCAGTAAGTCCTACTTCAGTAGGTCTCACTCGCTTTCTTCTCTGTTAGGTGAGATATGTCCAGAAATGCATGCAGTAACGGCGAAAAAAATGGCGAAAAATCGTCAAAATCGTCAAATTTCGCTTTGACGAATTTGACTAAAATTCGCCAAAATCCTCAAATACATGAACATTCACTCAGTTTGACGAAATTTCGTGAAATCTGCCATTTTCGTTACTGCGTGCTTTTCTAGACATAAGTGTCTTAGGCCCCCACAAATACTCTAAGAAAACGCATTGTCTACAACTGCAGTTTCTCTTTCCTCTCCCTACTGAAAATGTAAAAATATAATCAAAAAGCAAAACATTAATGAAGCTGTAATAACGTTGGGCAAACGTCTATGCTTTAGTGTTACTATTCATTACGGCTTAGGAGCGTTTTCGTATAAATTGCAAATATATTTGAGAACCTGTGTCTGCGTTTATCAGTAGAATAAATTTGTTCTGCTCACAGCTTTCATTTAAGCTGGGCGAGAGTTTAGCAGAAGAAAAATTACTCACACTGTGGCTCTCAAAGGTCTTTTTTTATTAGCCAAGCCTCATTCCCCCCTCTCCCTTCTCCTCCGAAAGTCTTAGTTTGGAAGCTCCCCTTCAATGTGATTAACATGAAACTTCTCCCTATAATATCCATACATTATCCAGCAAACAAGTAATGAGAGTACTCAAACGTATCAGGTAGAAGTTGTTATCCTGATCTGACACCACATTTTCACAACTACTTTAAAAGAAAATGTTTAGCAGCTAGAAGGGAGAAACAACAATCAGATCTTGGGAGTTAAAGGGTTAAAAGCTTCCCCCACCACCCCTCGAATGCGGATCAGAGCGATTACGACATTTTACCTTCACTTGGCATGCAACCAAGTTCCACCTACTATACAATCGTCCTACCTGTGTACATCAGATTAACAGAGGCTTGGCTCTGCCCTGCAATGTTCCACGCAGTGCATTCATAGTCTCCTGCATCAGACAGTTGAGCATTGTTGATGACTAACTCGCCACCCTCCTTAACAATAATTCTCTCACTTAATTGCAGCGGAAAACCTTCTCTATACCACATGATGGAGGGCGCTGGAAATCCATTTACCCGACATTTGATCGATAGACTATTTCCTGATTGGAAGGTCTTGATAGGCGGGTGAATTGTAACAGATGGTTGTTCTAGGAATGAAAGAAGAGAGAAACAAGAGTTTCAGATAAAATCATATTTGCTTCAAAACTGCCCTGGGGAAACTCATTGTCATAGGTACAAATTCTGAAATGTTGAAAAACAATATGACTTACACAGGCAGCACATGTACATAACAGTGCCTATTTAACAAGGACATTTCCTATCTCAAAAAGCACTTCCCTGTCGACTTAAGTAATCACAGCAGATATCTTTTAAAAGGAAACAGCCTTGAGATAGAAACCGCAAAGAGATCACTAAAGTCTACTCACCATAAACAACTACATCTACGACCAGAACCTCTTCTCTTGTTGTGTTTGTGGCAACGCATTCATACCTTCCACTATCATTTCTCTTCTGGATGTGAAGCAGGAGAGAATTGTTTGTTTGGGGAGTCAGTTCATTGCCATCCTTTCGCCACAAAACTTTGAAGGGAGGGTCACCGTCAGGTGCACAACTAAGAATGACAGCATCACCAGTAACAAGTGTCAGGCTTGTGTTTTGATCAACGACAACCGGACGTGGAACTAGAGAATAAAATTTTCCAGGTTAGTACAGGTTGAGTCAATCATAATAACATTGGCTGTGGCATCAGTCAGTTAGCAAGGATGGCCCAGCCCTTTGGGGGGTGGATCACATCATCATGCCTGAGGTTCTAATAGGGCTTTTTTTGTACCAGTCCAGCAAATGGGCAAATTATTTTCTTCTCAGAGAGAAGACTAACCCTTCAGAGAATTAGCCGCAATTTTAACCCAAATACTGTTCATGTACCAAAAATTTCAGCTAAGTTAGAAAGAGGTACAATCACATGCAACCGTTTATATCAAAAATTTCCAGCCTGATTATCTTATGGATATCAAGGCTATCATGCCTCTTTATATGAAATCCTTGAAAATTTGGGAGAACAAAAATCCTGGAAACCAAACTAGTTTGTAGGACTGGGCTTAATTGAAGCTCAGTTCCTTTAATTTGAACTGGCAAAAGAGCTCCATTCAATTACATCCAACAATGAAGCACCATACCTATGTTTTGGGGACACTTTACATAGCTGGTGGTTCAGTAGAGATTTGAAGGTTCAGCCTTTGTTACTTGTGTTGCTAGCTGGTCTAATGCACTGATCATTTGAAGCTTCAACATCACCCAGCCCTTCCTATGCAACTCATGGACATTTGACAGTTTTCAGCTGTCAGTTGTCTGTGCCAGGGGATGGGAAATTTGAACAGTGCCTGGCTGGGGTGGGAAATTTGACCCAGAAGTGTCAAGTCTTCCTAACTGAAAACAAGTAAAGGTGAAGAGTTCACTCTCCTGAGTAAATGGCTCAGTAGAAAAGATCCACCAAGTCTAGCTTTTAAAGCTTGGTCAATGAGTAGAAAGTGAAGCCTGAAGTTCGCTGATTTTGCCCATTACAAAAACTTGACCATCAAATCCAGCACTTGGGTAGGGCATTTGAACATAATTTTGGCCCCATAGGGAACATAATTTAAACAAACTGATCATTAAAAGTTCAGATACCTGGGGGATTGCCCATGTAGATACTGAAGTTTCAAATTGATCGATGCATTATCATGTGGCATATGGTTGTCTGAATAACATGTAGTCACAGATGTCTTACCTTTAACATTAACAGTAGTAGAAGCACTGGCTGTACCTCCCACATTACTGGCAAAACAAGTGTATGGACCCTGATCCTTGCTTGTGATTGATGCAATGATGTAGGTGACATTTGCTGATCCTATGCGTGTCAGCACAGGCCCAAGAGTTCTTCTGTCCATGATCCACTGGACCTTTGCAGGAGTTTCAGTCAGTACACTGCACCATAATTCCACTCTAGAACCTGGAAGGACCTCGATACTTGCTAGTGCTGTGACAATAGGAGGATCTGAAATGTAGAGTAAGGGAATCATGCATTGCCAAAATTGAAGAAGGAAATCATCATCTCTGAAACTTTCAAGCCCAGGAGTATGAGGATCTCTGCACAAGACTGTGGGGTGATCACCTGAAATTCCCAATACCAATGGGTGTGGCTCACATAAATTCTTGAACGACAGTTTGCTTGAAACTATAGCAAATTTTAGTTAATTAATATGATGTTTTCAAGATAAACCACCTTCAAGTACCAAATTTTTTTCTTTTTTTAATATGTTTTAGGAGAATGGAATGCAAAAAGGCTGAGCAATATCAAACTATAAGTAATACAAAACATGCATATTGGCTTTTCTTTTCATTTCAATATACAGCCAGGTTAAAATAATTCTAATAATTTTTAACACTGTATGTGTGAAATCACACATCCTTTTAATTAACCCTTTACTCCCATGAGTGACCAAGACAGAATTTCTCCTCACAATATCAATACAATATCAACCAGATAAGTGATGAGAATTAAGAAAAATATCTTTTTGGGGATAATTAGTTGATCCAATATAAAATTCTCTGAACAAAAATTATAAGAATTGTATGGTTGACAGTAAGGAGAATTACAGATTTGATCTGGGAGTTTAAGCCAAGAAATTATCCTTGCAGATGGACTGCATTTTTAGCAATTGCAGAAAAGACGCCATAAAAGATTCACTCTGACGAGATTTGAATGCCTGCCTACTAGATACTAGTTAGGAGGTACTAACTGTGCCAACTGATTTTATACCAAGCCATACACTAGGAGCAATGCAAATTTTAGAGGGTTTTTCCTTCCCGAAAAGTAATTTGATAACAACAAGTGTAGTTATATTAATTTAAGAAATTTATTTCATTAAAAGTTGTTGTCCTTGATTTACAAATGAGCATTCTCATAAGCAAAGTGGTGAAATGTGAGTATTAAACAAACCTGGCAGCACTGCACTAAGGGCTGTTGGACTAGCCCTGTAGAAAACGTTGCTATCATCATCAACACCAACCACACGCAAGTAAAACAGTCCTTTAGGAGGTTCAAAATTTTCCCAATCAAATGTGAATTCATCTGTGCTGCGAGGACTAAATGGTACTTCATCAATCAGTCCACCTTGTAAGTCCAGTATCTCTACTCGTTCAGGTCTTCCAGGAGGTTTCAAACCATGTACTTTAACAAGGGCAAAGTTCCTAAAACCTTCAAAGTGGAAAGTAAATCAGTAAATAAGACAAAGAATCATTATACAATTCTTACCCAAGCAATCATGTCTTAAGCTATATTATGCTAACCAGGGAGTTATGCATTGTTCAATTGCCTGGGTGGGGTGGGGAACTTGTACCAGCAGTTTTAATTTCAAATAGGGACAGTTAGGGAAAGTTTACAGTTAGGGAGTCTTCTATTGTAAGTAAATGGTTGAGAAGAAAATTTTCACACCATAGAATGATTCTTGCAGACAAAAAACCAAACACTGAGCAGCACCAAAAACTAAAATGTGACTTTGCTAAATTCTACCACATTCCCTGATCACACAAATAATTGTTTAATAAAATATTGTGCTTGGGTGGGGCATTTGAACACAATTTTTCTTTATTCTCACCACTTGTCTTCTTGATATTGTATTGATATTGTAATGAGAAATTCTGCCTTTGTCACTCATGGGAGTTAAAGGGTTAAAAATTCAAATGCCATGAGGGAGAGGGGGTTGCCCAGGGAAGGATGCTATATTTACTAACCAGCAACTGGTTGCAGCATAGCTTCATCCAGACTTCTAATTGGCCGCACCGCAAAGCCACTGGTAAAAGACAAAGAACTAAAACCTGTCACTCTCAAGGTGTGGCTTCCATTACTACTTGTGACCAGTTTCCAAAGACCTGGCTTGGGATTCTTCACAGAGACAATCTTTGCACCTTTCAGACTCAAAAGCCTCTCAAGTTCATACTCTTCAGTGAAAAGATGACCTGATTACGTAGATAAAAAATGAGAAAAAATAAAAAAATAGACTGCTCAAAAAATTGAATAAAGGGGACAGGTTTCTAAAGAAACTGTGATACTGCATTGGTAGAAGAGTATAACAAGGTAATTTAGTATCATCAGCTGAGTTGATAATGTAAATTGGTCACTGTAAAGAGTTTAAAAGCTGACATTTTGAGTGTTAGTCCTTAAGTGCTCTGACGAAGGACTAGTACTCAGAATGTCAGCTTTTAAATTCTTTACTGTGGCCAATTTTTAGTATTATCCGCTTATAATTCTAAATTACCTTGTTCAAAGAATTGATTGCATGAATTGCATTTTGAAAATTTCTCCACTGACATGCTAAGGAGGGTAATAAGGAGTGATAGCAAAACATGATAGCCAACAACTGCCGTAAGGAGTAACAAGTAACAATGTTTTTTAGTTAAATTCAAACCAAAATTACCATGTTGATTTGCCATAATTGCTAGTTCATCAGAGACAACCCATCCCCACTTCCCACCACTCATTCACAGAAATCCCTTCACAATCGGTTAACTCCCTTTTACCCTTCTGGGCTGCATGAGGTGCTGTCAGAGTGAAGTACCTCCTAAAAGGACAAAACACAAGACACTCAACCAGGGCTAGAACCTCATGTGGATTCTGGTCCCTAAATTATTAGTCAATGAGTGCCTGAAATGGGGACTCATAGGTGGGTTGCCAACCATGGGAGGAGCAGGGCAGGTAATGGAACTCAGTGGAAGTCCCTGGATATCTCTAAAAGCCACCTTCCATCAAGGCATGGAAGCCATTAACTAAGCTTGAAATGTCCGAAATAGTTTTTTTTAATAGAGCTTAAGTAAAATACACCCTTCAAATATAGACAAGCCTAAGAATTATGAAAACTGCAAATTACCATCAGGATGATATAGATTCAATGCTGATTGCTTTCCACTTAAAGCAATGTTCAACTCCACCAAAGCATTATCCACAGGAACATAGTATGTTTTGTCTGCAGCATGTCCAGTGTCAGTTGAAATAAGGTTTACCCTGTTCACCTGAAGAGATTCCTCCACAAACTTTAACACTTGGTTAACATCTTTCTTCTTTAAATAGAACACTTGTCCAGAACTAGCAGCGGAGATCAGCTCATATGCTGTTGAGCTTCCAGAGATGGTCTGATTACCACAATCCCCTGTAATTACAAAGAGGACTTGGCTTTGTTTCTGCTGGATTAACTTTAGCACCTGGAAAGATAAAGGCAACAGAGATTGCTAATTTCATAATAAGCCAACTCATCTGGATTATCTGGAAGTCTCTCTACTGTAGGTTACAACCCAGTATTTCATCAGGGATCCCTGACAGTTCACCAGTACCCTTATTCCTTGGAGTAGAGTGCCTATATGGGAGCCAAGTGCGTTGCCTAAGAACACAGCACCATAATCTAGTCAGATCCACAACCTAAACCAGTTGACCTATAGTCCAATACACTGACAATTAGGCCACCTCATCTCCCTCAAAAAAAATTAACCCTTAAACTCCCAAGATCTGATCGTTGATTCTCTCTTCTTACTGCTACACAATTCTTTGTAAATTAATTATGAGAATTTGATGTAAGATCAAGATTAAAAACTTCTTCCTGATAAGTTTGAGTATTCTCATTAACTGTTTGCCAGAAAACCTGTGGATATCATTGAGAGAAGTTATATGTTAGTCACTTCTGGGAGTTAAAGGGTTTATAGCTAACATAGGAGAAATCAGATACATTTCATCTCCACTGAAAAAAAAAAGAGGCAGATTTCCTTTTCAAGGATAAGCTATATTTTTTAATTTTTCTTTTTTCGACTTTGGATTGTTTGGGTTCACCTTCAGAGGCAATTTTCAGTGATTAGAAGAGACTGGGACAAAATGTGATTTACAAAATTTAAGTAGAGAAGGACATTCTCCATATCAGTATCTCTGTACTTTTGACTGCATTAGCAAGAAAATAACACTACATCAAGGGTTCATTCATTTAATTCAATTTCATAATTTGGTTTGTAAATACTTCAAACATTTGGCCCCCGGAAGTGTTGGTTTTGTTTGATTTCTCCTTTCTCCTAACAATATCTCCCCCCCTCCCCCCCCCCCTGAATCAAACATTAACCCCCGAATCAAACATTAAGACCACATGAATAAAATTAATGATCACCAACTAAAGAAGCTCTTGATTGTTAAACAAATTCTCACAATCAGCACCTTAGGAAATGTATCGAGAACATGAATACTGATGCTTTAGGGTGAAGGGTTAGACTAAATCAGGGTAAAATACCTCAGAATGTATAAAGTACAAATAATTCAAATGTCACCTTTTGAGTTTGATCAAAATCCTTGGCATTTGCATCTGTGAAGACATATATGAAAGAGCCAGGCAAGCTGATTTCTAGCGCTAAGATGATGGCATTCAAGGACATTTCTGGACAGTCTCCTCCCCCTTGCACAAAAAGATTGTCTAGGTGTTCCTGGAATTTCTCTGGACTTGTTGTCACTATGGCTGGACCCACATCTGTTGATATAAAGGCTGCAAGTTGAATGGTAAGGAACATGGTAATATATAACTCTTTTAATTAAAAGATTCAGTACAAACTAAATGCATAAATTGAAGGACAAGGTAAACCCTTTCACTCCCAAAATCTCATTAGTAATTCTCCTTACTGTCTGCCATACAATTCTTGTGATGTTAGTTTGGAGAATTTGGTATTGGATCAACCAATAATTCCCTAATTTATACACTTTTTTAATTCTCCTAACTTGTCTGCTTGATATTGTAGTAATAATGTATGGAGAAATTCTATCTTTATCACTTGTGGGAGTTAAAGGCTTAATCTAGAGGCTAGGTGGTCTGGACTACATGTGCACATCTCCAGTTTCTGCCAGAATGACAAGAAACAGAGCTTGTCTTGGAAAGGGATGGGATAAAGCCATTGATTGAGTCATGAACAGAGCAGTCAAATATCAGGCATGCCCAAGGGGATCATTTCTAGCTGGCCCTATGCCAATTTTCCAGCAAAATTTCAAAGGAAAACATAAAACCACGGCCTTCTTAAAATATTAGGTTTCCCTGATAATTGAGCATAACCCCAATCATAATCCCCTCATTCAACCCTTAACATAAGGCATAGAGCCACCATAAAATCGAGTGAATCAAACCTACTGGCAAGCTTTTTGTATAATGCCATAATAACAAGAGCTGTAAGTTTAGACCGCAGGCTTCCGGTAAGATCAGCTTATATTATGAGAGTCACCTTATCTCACCGACGCATTCATTGAACATTGAACTCGTTCCGCGACCTAATTAGTACCTCCAAAAACGTCCAACGCGCGCTTGCACCAAGTTTAAAGGAACAGCTACTCATAATTGTTTGGAATTTTGCATACAAAAAATCTCTTCGAAATGAACGCGATACAGAAAGCCGCACTAATTTGATCACGTCCGTGTTACCAAATTGCTAACACATGTTACAGCAATGGACTAACACGACCTAATTTCATTATGATTGTGTATGTCTGAGGTTCCGAAATTCACAAGGAATAGATTGAAACAACGGAGTAGTAAATACAATGAATGTCAAAAATTCGCCCTAGTTCTTGTGTTGAAATTTAACCGACGTAAACAAAAGTGCTAGTATATATTAAACACGTACAATCATAGTATGATATTGACAAACTTTAGATCGTCACGATACCATATCAATTAGTGTCTATCTGAGCATAATTAAACAAATGGCCGAGTAATATTCCAAAAAACGCACCTGGATCATGGAAAGGTATCAAGACATAGTTATACAAAGGCTTGACTTTCCTCTCTAACGTTGTGGAGAGAATTTTCGCCGCTCCAGCGCGAACTTGAATAAGATCATCGTACATACTGCCCGTTGTGTCGAAGACAAACACTAGCGAGGCAGCGCCTTCGGGAATTCCATTCTGCGCTTTGGAGTATCCCCAATTTGAAATAAAAACAAAGAGCACATGTACAATAAGATCTGCGTAAAGTGTCCTCAACCGTGCTTTCGCCGTCATCGTCTTCAAATTTCACAACGCAATCAAAGATTTATGCTGAAAAAATTTGAAAACCTCGTGTCCGCTCCAAATGTGTTGAGAGACTTCCAGATCACGATGATGACGATAAATAGCTTTGTTACTGGCGAATCGTGGCTCAACTTCCAGGTTAGTTTCTGCCTGCCTTGAATGTCTTTAACTCAAAGTCTACGCAGAGCAGATCATAAACCCCAATTAAATCCGGAAGGTTTTGAACAACACTTGTTTGACGCAGTGTAATAACATTAGCATATGCGATAGAAAGATAAAATAGTGCAGTTCAAAGACGTCTGATCTGCTCCACTCTTATGACCCAGCCACTTCGAACTCATTCAAAACTGGCGACTAGCGTATCGTAAAACGATACTAGTTTATGACAATTGTTATCCGATACCTTGCGGTTAACCTACGCAGCTGACGGCTGTAGTAAGTCCACTTGCAGGACTTGCAGGGATGCCTGACGTTCCTGTTACTTTGGTTTGTAATCTTAAAACAGAGGCACTCGACTGCTTGCTGATAAAAAAATTAAATGAATAAATACATACTGCAGTTCACTCTTTAACTTTAATTTCCCGTGATAAATTAATCTTGTGACTTCTTTTAAAGAAACATTGTTGCGGCAATGACGCGGTTTTCGAGAAACTAATTTCGAGAGACTAATTTAGATTAATTTCACATCTTAGAAGAAGTAAAAACCCAAGGAGAGAGATCAGAAATTCATGGAAATTCGGTGAAATTTTTTGTAAATTTTTAACTTTCCACATGAATCTCTACACAGACATAAAACACTGTGTTGTTCTGCCATTTTACTGATTAATTTCTGTACTTTCTTCAAGAACACCGCATTCCAAATTTGAGCCTGCGATCAGCAACACTGACAACAACCCCGGGGTCTTCAGTTGATTTGTAGAGAGTGTTCTCATCTCCATGAACAATTTTCAGTCTTGCTCAAAATGAAATCTGACGATCCTGAAACGGACAAAACCGTGTCCATTAGGCAAATACAACCACTTCTGGCTCGGAGTGTCCCTCGCGTGATCGCGCCGATTAGTGACAAGAAAGGTGAACATGAAAGAGACAACGGTGGCGTTGCTAAGGCCACCATCACACATTCTGAAAGCGGCAAGAAAGACCGCAAAAAATTACGCAGGCTGGTATCTGAACTTACTCTAATGGAGGTGAAGAAAAGTAAAGACAAAGGCAAAAGAAGGAAAGCTATTCGCGTGCCATCTGTGGATACTTCGCAAGCGAGAGGAAGTTCTGATGTTGTGCGTCTTGCTATCAAAGAACTTGGATGGCGAGAGGTGTGTGCTGAACTAGATTTAATATCTCTTCTTACAACTGTACCAGCTTTGCAAATGAAAAGTAAAATCTGCAAAATGCATATAGAGTAATTGAAATTTCAAGAGCAGCTTCCATGTTAACTGTACTGTTTCGAGTCCGATCTTGCGTTTCAAACATATTCTAATTAATGGATCTTTGATCAAAATCATGCATAGCTATCAAGTTTGTACACCTTTCGCTATTTCAACAGTATAGGTCACTTTAGATTTACTTGGCTATATTGTTACTTTGACAAAGGCACCACCAGTTCCAATAGCCTAGGTTAAAGGCCATGCAAATATTAGTTTTGCGTTCTAATTCAATGAATTTAGATGCAATAGTTGAAAGGCATTGATACACCAGTGCTAAAATACGAAAAAAATTGGCTAATTTTAAATTCTGAGCGACGAGGCGTAACCATAACACACTTTTAATTATCATACAACTGTTGAGATCTGTTAATGGCTCCAAATCCTTAAAACAATATGTTTTGAAACGTACGCTCATATTAAAATCGGAACAGCTGTTTACAACAAACAGAACAGTATGATTAGGTAGAAAAGCAAACACTTCGCTTAATAAAATTCAATGTGGACTACATATATGAAGTTTCGGTGTTCATCTTATCATATTCGTTCAGCTTTCCCTCTACGCGTTTGTTTTGTTAAAGAGAAATCCAGAGTAAAATTTACGTAAAGAAGGACACGATCGTAAAGCGTTGCGTAACAAATGTGACACAGGCGAGAAAAAAAGATCACACACAAATGCGAACCATTCGAAATATTCACTTCTATCCTCACAAATAGGTAAGATCGAACGATTTACTTTGAAATAAAAACAAAAAACTAGTCATCATTTGAAACACGTTTTTTACATTTCCTGGATTATTTTTTTTAACCGGCTTTGGTTACTTAGACCGTAATTTTTTTTTATCACTAATCTTGAGCTCGAAGGAGTTTTAAGTGTATTCCGTAAGAGACCACTAATATTTATTTGTTTTCATTTTCACTTATATGGACATTTTTAATCAGTACCCGACAGGTAGACGGAATGGTTGCGACTTCTACTGGCTTGGTGGACATTTCGAGATGCCTGAATATCCAGAAACAGGATGGCTTAGCAAATTTTTCGGTACAATCTGTGTTATATTTTAAAAATGCAAGTTTGCGTTTTTAATGAGTGTGCACCACAGCTATTACACAGTGAGGATGTGCAATTAAACACTTCATAAGTGGCAGGGCTTTCCCTCCTAACGTCTTAGCACCAAAAGATTCAGTCTCGTAGTCTCTTCAAATCATTCCATCAGGATTGTGCTTGGTGTAATTATATGCTGTAGGCCTTTTTTAATCTGATTTTTTATTTGATTTTCAATATATTTTAAATTACTTCCTTAGGCATGTCTGAGGCTGCCCACAAAGTAGAACTCACAAGACACATCAACAGACTGCATTTTTTATTTCCTCATGAGTTTAGCTTTTATCCAAAGACTTGGATGCTGCCAGAAGAATTTGGTGAAGTTTCTGCCTACATGTCCAAAGCAAAGAAGCCACCCACTCTTATTGTCAAGCCTGATGGAGGGTCTCAGGGGGATGGAATTTTTTTAATGCAGAACATTCATGATGTACATCTAAGCACTGCTCTTGCAAGGCCCTGTGTGGTGCAGGAGTATGTTGCAGAGCCTTATCTACTTGAAAAGTTTAAATTTGATCTTAGGATTTATGTTGTGTTAAAGAGGTTGGAACCTTTAGAAATCTTCATTTGCCGTGAAGGCATGGCACGTTTTTGTACTGAACACTACCAGCCACCGACGCATAAGAACATTTCCAAGACTTACATGCACTTGACAAACTATTCATTAAACAAACACAGTGCAGGTTATGTTCAAAGTGATGCAGAGGATAAGGGAAGCAAGCGCAAGATAAGTGCTGTCTTCAAGCAACTGGAGAAACAAGGATGCAACATTCCACTCTTGTGGGCTGAAATAGACCAACTTGCCTGCAAGACTGTCATTGCTCTTTTACCAATATTGAAACTTCAAACTCAGATCATAAGCACCGAGTTGAAGCAAGATCTCAGATCTTTTCAAATCTTAGGTTTTGATATTCTATTAAACAAAGACCTCAAGCCAATCTTGCTTGAAGTGAACTCCAGTCCAAGTTTAAGAATTGACTATGAAGAAGAGACAGTCCCTGGCAAAGTTGACTACTATGTCAGCAAAACAGATCTGGAAATCAAACTTCCTATTGTGAAAGATACCATGTCACTGGTATGGCAACAAAAGAAAGTGTAAGTTATCAGGATAAATGGCTGGCCAACTTAATAGTGTTTACTTATTGACTGAGTGGGAGGGCTGGACAGCAAAATGTTTGATTCGTGCTCATGAAATACAGACTGAGGGCAACAAGGTCTGCATGACCATACTTACACATTGGTCTCCATTAAGTCTGTTTTTCAAATTCTGTTGTAGTTTTGACTAACTTTGTATAATCAAACCTTTGAACCCAGACTGAATTAGACCCCACTTAGTCCTGATACCATTAAAAATATACTGGTTATGTTCATGATCACTTTTAAAGTACTAAAAATTTAAAATTAATATTTTTGTATTTAATTTTTTGGTTCTAAAGAATATGTTAAATAGAAAAATTAAGCTGGAGAAAAATAGAAACATTTTTCATAAAAGTTGTAGTATAACATGCTGTGTGCTGTTTAACACAATCATGAAAATTCAGAAATTCAGTTTATATGAACTTTTTATCAACCTTTCTCTTCCAGGGACACACTACCAGAAAAGTCAGGTTGTCTTTACCAAATTTATCCCAAACTGGCTTCCCATTTAGATCATTTCAGAGTAGTGGAAAGATGTGCGACACTTTTCAGACATTTTGTAGGGGTGCGCACATCCAACAAGATGGGACCTACCTCCTTTAGAATGATGGCAAGGTGAGACATAGAGACAGAATTATGTACCCTGAGGCTGAAAATTATTTCATTGTAGTAGATGTGTCAACCAATGCATTGGGTAGACTAGGATCAAGAACCAAGATTTATGGCTACTTTGTTCACAGATCTCCCTCCCTTGACTGCACAGTATGAAATATTTATTTTTTTTGATATCAGTGTGCATTATAGGTGGAGACAAGTTATTGGTATCATATGAGCAGGGTGTGACCTACAATTTTTCACCCTTTCATACTTGGCAGCTTTTTCAATTGGCAATCATTTAATTTATTCTCTAGACCTTATTGTGTGATTTATAATGGTAATTGCACTGAGTGGAGTGCAATTTGGGCTGAAACCATACGCGTGATTTTCAAAATCAAACAAGCGCGCAGCGCGAGTTCGATTTGAAATCACAAGTATGATTTCAGACCAAAATTGCACGACACGAGGTTCAATTACCACTTTATTACATCCATTTTGAAATCGGCCAAATACAGGACTTGGTAAGTTCAAATATTTTTTTGATGAAGTACTGAGCCGGTCTGAAATTCAATTCATGTCCATTTTTTGGGGAGAAAAAGTAAGAGTTAAGAAACAAAAGTTGCAAAATTTGCCACATGATACTCCTTGTCTTTCATTTTCCTGCGATTTGATCGGTTACTTTAAACGAGCCTTAAAATCTAACTGGTTGTTTTGTTTTTAGTGTAGCCTCCTCATTGACTGAGAAAAAGATGCGATTTAAAGCAAAAAATGGTGCGATTTGTGAATAAATCGCATCAATTAGAGCCAATCAGATTACAGGGACCACCAGTGATTTCAAAATGGGTGTAATAAAGGGGTGATATTGTAAGGAGAAGTAATATGCTAATCACTTTTAAGGGTCAAAGAGTCAATGCTTGGTTGATCTAACCTGATACTCCTCTTTTCTTGTCCTATCAGGAGATGTCATTTGACAGATTTCGGCTTCACTCTTGCTTCATTTGACATAATGTTCATCAACATGAGTCGTCGTCATCCAGGTTGTGAATCAGGCCGTGCTTCTCTTAATTTCCATGGTTTCTATGAATCACTCATTGCAATAGGACACAAGAAATTTGCACTGACCATGCGGAAAGAGCCTGTGCAGATTTTATTGAATGTTTTAAAACATTGTGAACATCACTTGGAAAAGAATGTGAATGCCTCACAACGCCGCAAGATGCCTGAGCCTTACTTGAGACCATCGCTAGGTGATAGAAAACTGTTGAGCTGCTTTCAGTTTCCCTTAGCTACCAGTTCTTTGTTTTAATCACTAACCAAAAGATCTCAAAACACCTTCCTGAACTTGGTTGTGTTGAGACTGAGATAATATCTATTTACTAGTGACCAATGATGACTCAGTTCCAAATTTCATCCTATTTCTGTGCCAAGCTAAATCCAAAACAACATTTAAAGCCATTAATTTTAGCAGATTGGCACCAAAGATCCACACAGCTACAGTTCAACCAATGACGGGCCTTGCCACACTAGACTGCATGAGCAAGACTCAAGTTCACACATGCTGAATTCAGGAATTACTTTGATGTACCCCAGTATTTAAAAATGTGAGATTGAATGGAACTTGGACACTAATTAGCTTGTTCCAAGCTCTCAGTCAGAGGGGAGAGACATAAAAGTCAGTAAACTTAATTTAGCAATGTTCAGGCAAAGGATGTAATGTTTCTCTCAATGGTACCCCAACAGAATGAGATCTTCAATTAAGCAACATAAGGCTCAATTAATTTAAGATGGTGGACTACAACTATAATCTCTTACAACTGTAAATCATCAATTGTAAATAAAAATTTCAAGGGAAATAAACTTACTAAAAGTTCTAAATGAATGTTCAACCATTGCACAGCTAACTCCATATTCACATTTAACACTTTGAGTTCTTTTATTGACTGTTTCAATGGATGTATGATAGTTAATTTTGCTAGGAAAGCCCTCTATAAGGGGACTTTGAAAACACAGAAATACAATGTAATTGTGACAACTATTTCCTTATTATTTTCTGTGTTTGGCATAAGTTACAAATCAATTCCCACATTTTTTACCAGTACATGTGTGTGACAATTAAGTCAGAACACTGAAGAACCAAATAGAAAATAACATTTTGTAGTAATTGTTTTAGTACACTACATTTTCTCTTTATTTAATTACCATGGTGTTGGATAATTCTGTTTCACACTACCACCAAGAACAAATAGTTCTTCCCAAATAATTCAGCATGAATTTAAGTGTCTTCCATTGAATAGTAACACATGAAAGTTGGCCAAGATTCATGCCAAGTTGTTTGAAATTTGATGCATTCTAACCCAGAGATACTTACTATTAATAGCAAAGTATAATAATTGTTTTTCTTTTCAATTAATCAAGGATTCCTGTTAGTCAGGTTTCAAACACTGCCTTGTGTGTGGTTCATGATTCCATGACCAATGAATTCTAGGTAAATTCAAGTTTATTGTTAACCTTTTAAACCCTAAGAGCGACCAGCATCTTATTTCTCCCTACAGGAAAACCACTTATAGTCATTCACTAAGATTATGAGAATAAAGAAAATGATCACCAACTTAAGAGACTTTGATTGTTAATTAAAACCAATTCTCCTTGTCAGTACCAAAGAAAATGTATTAAGAGGGGTATGGAGAGTATGGATGCTGATGTTAGGGAATAAAGGGTTACAGCAAGTGGTAGTTTTTCTCAACTGACCGCCCCTTGGTCACTGCATACGACAAGTCAGGGATGTCTCAGAATTCTACATGTATCCATGACTTAACTCAATAGTCATAGACAGTTACTCTACATTAAAATTCTCTTAATATTCAAAAAGAAGCAGCACCTTTGAACTTAACAATCTACAGCTGCCACCCATACTCCAGAATTTAATTTGTTTATTTGTCTTATGGCAAAAGAATCTCAGTCCTCAGTTTAATTCCTAAAAATATACTTTTTAAAGGTTTTATATAACAACTCTACCCCCTTATATGATAGTACCATTAAGAAGATGTAGGTATGATCATATGATGATTTTCTACAGTTAATGCATAGTAAATCATCTTTTTTTTAATGAGTAGAGAGAGGAAACCACACACTACTTTATTTCAGATCTGACCTTTACACTAATTTTCATTTCCCCAATTCAGCTTTCCATTCCTTAAGCTTTTTTGCTCCACTCTCTAAAGTACTGTCCTCCTACAAATTATTGAAAATAAAATTGGTTCATAATTACAGCTAGCAAAATGCCAGACAGTGAGTTTGATTACTTCAAGTCAGTAGTTGTCAGTAAAATGCAAGCTTGAGAAGTCAGTATTGAATTCAACTATAGACTTATTCTTGGGGTGCGAGGAGTAGTTTATCTGCATCCAATTTTCCACCACATCAGAAGCAACATCAGAAGTGAATATTTACACCATATTTTGAGTTTATAGGAAGATAATATTGTTAGTTATAATTGTATGTTGGGGCAGTTTAAGTGTAAAGTGAAGTTCCATTGCCAACAACAAATGGTCTAAAACAGATTGTAAAAGTAAGATTAAATCTGTGAAGAACTTTTGGCAGAATTAGTGACTGATGTTTTGAATACTTTAAAGTTGACTCTGATGATCAATTTTGCAAAGTTTTTTCCCAAAAAAAAAAATTCAGTCACTGCTACCAACAACAGTCCTTAGTGACTGGCATTTGGACAACCTTTAAGTCATGCAGCTCCAATGGTGACTTTGCCTGAGGTTTTTCCAAACATCAGTGAAACCACCAACAACAGTCCTCCTCAGGACCACCCTCACAGAGAGCAGGGCGTGAAATTGTGCCTAATACAGGCGCCAATGCGACTAAATTTTTCACTTTGGCGACCAAATCCTAAAACTTGGTTCATCATAACCTTACCTAGAGATAGGGTGAATGAGGAGCCAAGTGGCTATCAAGAAAAAAAATTAATTTCACGCCCTGGAGAGTCCATTAAAAGGAAAGCAAGTACTAACCTTTATAAAGCAGAATCGAATGTATTTGGCTCCCATGTATTTATGTTCAAGGGAATAGAAAGCTGATGGAGGTATAGCTGCAATTCCCTGTGATAAATATCAAATAAAAGTAGATTTAAAGTACTGATTACTTATTGAGAACTTAGTAAGAATATATGTTGATACATGCTACCAAATGGCAAATTAATGGTTATGGACATGTATAAAGGAGGTATGTTTATAAAGTAAGTGTGGTGCTGTGTTGGTGGGGGGGAGGGGGGTGTGACAAGCTAGTTTTGGTTTTATCAACTGAGTTGATGATGTAAACTGGCCACCATAAGGAGTTTCAAAGCTAATGTTTTGACAAATAGCCTCTTGTCAGAGCAAATGGAGGAATTGTGGGTAGTGTGTGTGTTGACATGTACACCTTGGCCTAACCTTGAATAAGATTATCAATGATGACTAAATATTTAGAAAAAAAACTAACACCCCATTCACACCAAAGCTTCAACACGTTTTAAAGAGCTGCTTTGTAAAACACAGTAAGGTTTAAATTTGTTTTTGTTCATAGAGGCTGTTTAACCCTAAACCAGTCTTTGTCAAGTGTGTAAGTAGCTTTTGGAAAAAACTACTTTGAGATTAATTGAATCAGATGGAAAAATCCAGTTTTTAGGTTCTACCTTTCTGATTTTCATTCAGGTAAACCCTATTTCACTAAAAATGTTTACTGGTGTGAAAGGGGTATAAGATAAAAATGACATTGTTTAAATACAAATCAAGAACATATCTGGATTGATACATGTATACTACAAATCAATGTATCCTCTATCTACTATCTACTTTACACTAGACAAAAAAATATTTCTAAATAAATAAAAAACCAAAGATCTTGGACACTGGTCCTGTTATTAAATTAAATTTTTTTCTTCCCACCTTCTCTTTTGTCAACCATCGTACAAATTTATAGTCAGGAGGGTCATCACTTTTATCATATTCATCAAAGTTCACATCTGGTAAAAAAAACAATGATTTTAACTTGTAAATTAGAAATGCTATCATGTTCAACTGTGACAGACCAGGATACAATCTGAGTTGAGTAATGGGTCTTCTAAAGTTGTAACTGGTGCTTAATTCATACTTTGGACATTTGAATTATAATTTTTTTTAAAGGCATTCTAACAACAGTCTTGGTTTTTACTTAATTTATATGGATGTCTTTATCTTGAGACTCATGGACCTGAAAACTATACAATAATAAGTTCTGACATTTTGTTTGGTTTTTAAATACAAAACGTCATGTCCCACTAAGAAGGTGATTTAGTTTTTAAAACCCCATCACTCTGGAAATTCCCGATTTATTTCATAACTTGCATTACTTTCAAATCTATGTTTTTGTGATCTCCTCAGCTGATGAATCTCACAGCATTACACTTGTAGCAAGAATCTATACATTTTCCCAAACTGCTTATTAACAACAAAAAATTATGTAATTATACCAATGCCTGATGTGTCAGCCATCATAAAGTAACCTCCTTGAGGAATGACTGGCTTAAAACCAACTTCAGTCAGTAGTTTAGCCATCACATCCCGTTTTCTCTCCAACATGCTTCTAAGTCCTGTGAAATATGACTTTTCTGTGTCAATAAGAGGAATTTCATGTTCAAAGGCTTGGGCAAGGGCTTCCTGTGAATGACAAACACAGCTACATGTTATGGAGAATTATACGTTTGCTATCTAACTATTTACCTCTGACCAAAATAAACTAAGAACTTCAAGTGAACTTATTTTTCATACTTCCTGTTAGATTACCTGTGTGGGAGTTGCCAGGTTATAAGTAATTTGTGCTTGAGTTGTCTGCAAGTTTTTAATTAATTCCTTAGGACCAATTGACCAGCCAAGCTTAAAATAATAAGAAAATGACAATATTAACAACAAATAATACTTCCTTAACATTTAAAAGTATACTCTTAGCATCTAGTATTGCGAAGTAAAGCCAATAAAACTGATCAGAATTACTTTCAAACTATCAGCTGCAATACAAGGTTTATCAACTGAAAGTGCAGCTTTCATGTTTTTGAAGATGCAAAGGCTGAACAGTTGGCATGCAGAGCCCCCACCTGATAGATCTACGATCAAGCTGTGGTCATGAAATGCTATGCCGTTTTCTTGGGCCACACACATTACTCCTTTAGCAAATTTCTCCTCTCTGAAGTATTTATAGTTGGCATGGCAAAAAATTGTCAGAGATGTAATGTACTCCTATTCAGAAAGTAAAATTTAACCCCTGAAGTAGTAAGTCTTATTACTGCCTAAAATTGCTTGAAGTTCTTAGAAATTCAACCAGAAATGGTTTGAAAATTGCTATTACATGCTGTGCTTATAATAGAGGAGAACACTAGAGATCCAATGGACATTCCACTCAGGAGAAGAAGCAATACACCCAGGAAAACCAACCAAATGTGAGGAAGTATGGGCCACTCATCTTATCAGCAAGACTGAACTAGACTAGACTCTTACTTTTTAACTGAACTGCAAAGGTAGAGGGTGCAGTTTCCTAACAAATGCTACACATGTGAGGGCAAACTGAGAAATGCCAGGCAGTGGAAGACGCAACGATAATGCATTGTTCCTTCAATTTATAAGGCCTGATTACCCAGCTTAAAGTTAACCAGTCTGAATCAAAAGCTGCAGGTTTTGACAAGAGGTCTTGTTACTTTTTAAATGTAATTGCAGAACTTCACAATGAATCAAGAGACCTACATGAGACATAGTTTGATGTTACTCTGGTTTGCAGATTTAATGAATGTAACCGAAGAAGTTACAATTCATAGACCCAACCTTTTGACACTCCTGTCTAGTGCCTTCATCAGGGGTGATCTAAACACTGCAACAAGAGGTCCTTTTATATGACCACTAATAAGCAGCCTTTTTTCTGACGAGGTTTAAATAGGCATCAGAAAGCAAACCGCCATCGTCACAATTTAAAGGAGTGTGGGCGAAATTAATATGCCAAGCCTCCAAACAAAGACCTACATGAGTTTCAAGGCCATTGAATATTCACTGAATAAGTAAGGTTACCTTCCAGCCAGTGATACTAAAGGTCTTCCCTGCACTGCCAACTGTTATTGTCCTTTCCCACATACCAGGAAGTGTAGCTATTTAAAATAACAATGTTATAGTAAATCTTGCAAATGAAAAAAGTTTAACATCCATATATTGGATCGTGTCCAAATATTAGTATTACCTAGAGATCTGACTATTACCCAGTAGTGATGATGATAACGGTGAAACTTTAACAGTTTTTACAAAAGTGCAATGATACTATTGTGCAAAGTTTTGCTTTCAAGATCTGAGAGCTTTCCTCTCTCAACTGTTGACCAAACCATTTCTTTGTTACAGCTAATACTGAGAACTTTGTGCTGCATCAAACATTAAAGTAATATCCCCTATTTGATTATTTTCCTAGTTCCCAATGCCTGTCTACCAGACAATGTAATAAATTCTCAAGGATTCTCCACTCTGATCACTAACATGAAATGGTTAAATAGCTGTTACAAATAAGGTAATTAAAGTCATTGGCCAGTGATTCCGAAAAATACTCAGACAAAAGATGAACAAACATTCTTACCAATCCTTAAGTGCTGTTCTCCACCATACACAAGCCACTCATAAACTTCATCACTGATACAGATGACATTGTATTTCTTACATAAATCAGCAATTAACTGCAACTCCTCCATACTGAATACCTTTGAGATTAAAATTCACAAAACTGTTGCAAATACTCTCCATCATCTTTTGATCAGCTTGCACTTCTTCAGAATAACACTTTACCTTGCCAATAGGATTATGTGGAGTGTTAATAACAATGGCTCTGGTTTTCTCACTAAAGGCTGCTTCCAGTTCATCTTTGTCTAAAATCCAGTCCTTTGTTGAGGTAGCGTTTTCTTTCTGGTGCACAAAGAAAGGGTAAATTATTCCACACCATTCAGATCATAGTTTTTCCCAACTCAACCATTCAGTTTAAGTGAATAAAGTCAGATAAGTTTCTCATAAAAGAAACTATAATTGTGTTGCATTAGTATGGGTTATTACAAGTTGACAGTTTGGTTTTATAAAATGAGTTGTAAATTGGCCATCGTAAGGAGTTTCTAAGCTAACATTTTGGGCATCAACCCTTCATTGTTCGTTCTGACAAAGGACTCACACTCTAAATGTCAGCTTAGAAACTCTTTGTGCAGTGGCCAATTTACTTACTAACAGTAATCAACTTAGATAATAAAACCAAATTATTTTGTTCAATAAAAGCTGAGTTTTCCATTTGTCTCTCGATGTACATGTAGTCACATGTGATGTAGATCGCAACATTTTGACTGCATACTGCTAGTCTTCTTCAGGTGATGAGATTGACTGGTCATGTGTGATCTTATAAAGCGTGATGCTCTGCTGTGATTAGTTGTTTTTCAACAGCTCTGATTGAAGCATTTCAATCCTTGCTGTTTTATTCAGTGATTTGCTCCCTCAGTGGGAGGGAATAATTGTTCAACTTAAAGACCGGTAAGAGCAATGACATACTTACAGCCCTCAAAGGGACAAACTTTGGTATCCCACCAGCCACTGATATTTGAGGTACATAGCAGTCAAAATATGGCTCAATAAGGATTACCTGTACATCAAAAGAGGATTACAACAAAAAACTACCAAAACCAGGTGCTCTAATCAGTCTTATGACAAATCAAAAGAACTATCCAGTCTTGTGAAGCCACACAACAACTCGTGCAATACATCTTTAATAGAATTTAAGAGGAAAGTTTGACCAAAGAACTGCAGAACAAGGATTACAGACTTGAAATAAAATTTGAACAATCATTTAAAGGAACTAAATTGACATGAAAAAAGGGAGCCATGATAATTGTTAATGAGCACTTCCTCCTTAACCCCCCTCTAAAGATAAATGTTGTTCTATATTATTAATTTCAATCACTTAACTACTAAGGACACCTCATTAACCTTTTGACCCAATCAAGTGACTACCATCCAATTCATCCTTACAATATCACTCCTGAATCATGTATTACAGTCACAAGAATAAAGGAAATGGAAAGAAGCTCTTGATTGTTGGACAAATTCTCTGTGTTAGCACCTTAAAAATGTATAAACAGCAGTATGGAGAATATGCATACTGATGTTGGGATGTAAAGGGTTAACAGACAATTTCTACCTACCATACCTCATCACCAGGATCCACTAAACCCAAAAATGAACAATACAGTGACTCGTAGGCTCCTCCTGTGACTAAAATCTATGGAATGGAACCCAAAATTTGTAACATTTTAGTGGACAGTTTTAATGCACTATCAACTAAGACAAAGTGAACATTCTGTAGAGTGTTAAACAGTCAAGAAAAGTGCCTTACAACTAAGTGTTAAAAACCATAACCAAAAGACCATCAAAACAACAGAAAAACCACAAAAAAATATGTTTAAAACTTAAAGTAAAATACATATAAGCTGATAATATATGAGTGATCAATACAAGTCCATTTAATTGATCAAGAGAAGGTAATGCTAGTTTCTAAGAGAAATAATTGTTCAATAAGCAAAACCAGAGTAACTAATAAGTAATAGCTACCTCAGATAAAGGATCAATGGCTCTCTTCATCAACTGGGTGTAAAGCTTTCCAAGGGCATTAACTAGTCTTGGGTGACCCTGAAAATTAAGGTGAAAATTGATTATTATTAATTTTGTTGCAATGGAAAGAAGTTATTGATCTGAACTAAAAATCATCAAATCTATATGGGATACTATGTGTAAATTCTGCTAAAAAAAGAAAATGCTAATGAATGTGAAAGGCATAATGTCTTCCAAGAACACCAAGCAAAGTCATTTGTTATTAACACCTTCAGGTCTCACCTGACTTCTTGTATACTGATTAACAGCAAAGTCAGAACTTGCAGCCACCCTACCAAGCGCTTCTTTGACAAAGTGAGGAGGGGGCATGTCTGGGAATCCCTATAATTAGTAATAGAAGATTATTAATGAGGTTTTTTTTTTTTTCATTAACCTAAAGAAGCTATTAAAAGTATCCTAGGCTAATAAAAAATGTAATAGTGAACACTCCCAGAAAAATATTCTTAACATTAAATTGTTACACACGTATCATCAATCATTCATTCATTGTCAGTAATTAATGAGTGTGCAGGTGTATAGCTACCTACACATAAGTTAACCAAAATATATAAAGGCTTGAGACCTATGAGCAGAATTTCAGTTGAGCAATTATGAGAGTTGGGGTTAGTTTCTAAAGAAACTGTCAGTGGTGCTGCATCAGTGGGAGAGTATAACAGGGTAATATTAATAGTAATGGAAATTGGCCATTGTAGAGAGTTTCTAAGCTGAGGTTTCAAGTGTCAATAGCCCTTCAATAGAGCAAATGAGAGTTAGCCATGATAGGCTAAGAAAACAGGACATAGTACTTCATCAAATAACATTGAGAGGCTTGTTTTTGGCTGGACACTGTAGAAACATTCTATTATATTTAAACTCACAACATCAACTTGCTTTTTGTTTACTTAAAATCAGAGGAAGTAAAAAATGAACACATTGATAGTTAAAAAAACCCAAGAAAGTTCTAATGTGGTATCATTACAGCTGAAGCTGGTTACATAACAAGATTATTCATTTTTTTAAAATCTATATTTATAGTTTATTACCTGTCCTAAGTTCACTGCTTTATAGTCTCTTGCTAAAGCAGTAAACTCAACCCTGTGAACAAAAAAAAAAAAAACAGTCACATATAAATCATACACTATCAAAGCTGTTAAAGATCCTTTCTTTAAAAAAAAAAAAAAAAAAAAAGGCAAGAGTGCAACTCCATTATTTGTTATAAGATATATTGACACACTGGAAGACATACTGGCTTTAATCATTAAAGATTACTATTAACTATTAATTAACACACTGGCCTAGTGGTCAGTGTACTGGGCTCCGGGTCAAGAGATCTGGGTTCTAGAAGACACTCTTTCTCTCACAGTGCCTCTCTTCACCCAAGAGTATGAAATGGGTACTACTGAATTGTCAGGGAAGCCTGATGTGATGCTGGGGGGGTAACCTTACAATAGACTAGCATCCCATCCAGTGGGGAGTAGTAATACTCCTAGTTACTTCATTTCAAGAAAATGCAAATAAACTCCGACTGAAACTACCAGCATACCAGTAAATGTATATTTCAAATAAGATGACTTTCCAGATAATCAAAGTAATAACGAAACGATTCTTGACCCTGTAATGAATTCAAGTACAGACTCGTAACCCTCCAAAGGGTAATATGTACAGTATAATCCACCAAACAAAAAAGAAACTTCTGCACAAGATATTTATTTCTACACATCAACATCCAGAACAGTTACAGTTCTGGTACATACCACACGTTCTTGTCAAATCCTATATTTCTGTTTGCTGGTTTGTACAAGTCTTTTGAGCTCATTTTCCTCTACAAGAAAAGCAAAGATTTCAGGTTAAAATAAGACATCCCATACATCATTTACGCTTGGGAACATTTATAATGCAGGAGAAACACGTCCTTGACCTTTCCATTACCTTTCTTCAAAATACAGTGCTATAACCCATGATTTACTTTGAAGCCATGGTCATAGGATAATACACAGCTTTTCAAAGCCCACTCTTAAGGTCTTACATGTAGTTCCACCACAAACGCATATGATACTTAAAAGTAACGAATGTTATTGTATGAGGAACATATATTTTTGGTTTCGTTTACAAGATAATCAATTCTCTATAACAAAATACCAGGTTCATTGAATGAAAACAAATACCTGCCTTCACGACCCTTAGTTAAGTTAACCTGTGTTTCGTAAAAGAGTTAGGTAATCTTTAGACCAATGAAGATTGCATGACATCCACGAGATGATACTGGGGTTCAGATCCCCTCAATGTAAGAGTTGCCACGACTCAACAATCGACGCTGCGTGCGTGGCTGACCGTGGTTATTAGAGTCGGAAAAAACCTTGCGACTTAAACGCAAGAATGGAATAAACGATAGTGGCACTTTATCAAAATGATACGAAAATTGTAGTTTTTGAGCAAAAAGAGCCTCTTCCTCTCTATTTTTTTCTATACAAGCAAGGTCGCCTTCACCCTCGCGCGATCGATGAGACCTTACTACTGTTCTTGAGAAGATCAATAAAAATGCGACGAATATTTTTTTTTCAATAAAAAGAAAATTATATACACGTCAGACAGCAGCCATAACTTTTTGACAATTGTCATGTTTCCTTTCAAAATTTGAGGGTATAGGTAGAGTATGCAGCGCGCAGGAGACGATCTGGATCTTCAACACATACATTATTACACTTCAAAATGGAAAGAAAATAATAGTTATGGAAAAAATATAAAATAAAACCTTTCAAGTGTACTCCTTTCTTCTTTGCTTTCTATTTCTTAAATTGTGTATCCTTTGAAGAGAGGAGATATCAGTATCTGTAGTATACCCGTATGGGAAATAGATGCCAAGCAACTGAGGATGATACCCGAAATGCTTTGTGGGCCACTTCCGGGTTTCATATCAAGAGATTCGCATTTAATCCTCGTTAAAATCATGAACATAGGCATAAAGCATCTTGGAAAGGCCTAACGGAGAGCCATCTCAAAACGTTTAGACAACGACTTCAGTCGAAATGTCTGCAAATTTTGCTTCCGGTTACGATGATCGCTGCTCGTCTTCAACACCTGACAACCACCTCAAGGGTTTCCTCTGTCTGAGCTGAACTGCTCACGGAAAATTTGACATATCTTACACATTCATGCATGGGCAATCACTCACCCGGGTACCCGGATAGAATATTGTCATCAGTCAAGACATGGTGACAGACTACAGCAAATCATTGCCTTGTAAAATTAATAATAGGCTCGAATAAAAATAACTGGTTGGAAAAACAACAACATTGTTTCTATCTAAAAACACTAAGCCATCGACATTGCTGATCCTGGCAGTATGCAGGACGCGTGTCATATGAACTTCGTAATAGACTTCGCTCACTATGGAGTCTCTGTGGCTCGGTGGTTAGAACATCAGAGCGTGAAATCCGAAGGTCCGAAGGTCCGAAGGTTCGATCCCTCATTAACTTTTCTTTGTACTACGCTCGTGACAAGACGAAAAAAAACATCTTTCTCAACATTGATAATCGCATTTAAATTAAAATAATTTCTAAACGTCCTTACATGTTGTTCACATCTCTGATGCTTGAGACACAGTATGGAACACCGTCCTTCTTGGATCAGATTCTCGAACCTGCTAAATAAATGCCTCCCTCTGAAAACAGTTGTGGTCATACTTGAATTTCTGCAGTGTAGAGCACTTCGCGATAATCGACTGACCGTTCTAGTTTGTTTTGGTTTCACGCCACAACAATGTTCAAATTTCGTGTTGTTTACACAAAGCAAATACTTTTGCTACTAGTTACCAGTCTTTTGCCGTTGATCTTACGGAAAGGACTAGCTAAATTGCAGGAGAAACTCCTCCTTAATTATCAAAGATCGATGATTAAAATGCTCATCGCTTAAAGACATCAGGGGGAAGAGGGACATCTGGAGGAGGCAAGGTCTGAATGTTAAGATGGCTCTCATAAATCCAGCAGCACTTTTGTTATTAGTGTGCGTGCTAATCCTCCGTGTTAACTCATCGGTTGGCGACAAAGCTAGTACTAGCCATAACAACAATTCACATGAAAACGGAACACCAGGTCATGCCAGTGATCCGATACCGGAGCTCAAAGTGGCAAAGTTTGACTTTGCATATGTAGCTGGGCCACTGACGATCATTGTGTGGATTTTGATAGCAAGTTTTGCCAAACTCGGTAAGTGTTGACGACAAATGTAATGCTGAGGTAATTAGCGGCTTCGCTGGGAGTGGCGTGACTTTTCTTGTAATCTGACGATCGATTTCTTAAATATTTCAGTCACATATTGGGAAAATTCAGAATTTAAAAAACCGATGTTCTCTTATAGTCTTCCATTTGTCTCACAAGCTGTCTTCGATTGTACCGGAGTCATGGTGAGTAGAATTAATTAACACAGCTGCCGACTTAATTTTATTCAGTGTTAGAGAGGCAGATATTTTTAAAGGCTGTCATTTTTTGCACATCATAAAATCAATACATCAAAAAATTGGGTCATCAAAATTAATTTTAAAAAACTTGAATTTATCCAATGGACTTTAGGAGCCTTTGGAGATAGCGTGAATTCTGTAGTCGCGTTTTTTTTCTTCGTCCTTGATTAAAATGTAGATCGAACTGTGTTTGACAGCCGACCAGCCATACATCGAAAAATTGGGTAATCAAAGTTAACCTAAAAAAAAAAACTTGAAGTTATCCAGTGGATTTTAGGAGCCTTTGGAGATAACGTGAATTCTGTAGTCGCATTTTTTCTTCGTACTTGATTAAAATGCAGATCGACCTGTATTTGACAGCCGGCCAGCCATTTTGTCTCTCTTCATTAGATCTGTTGTTGATCTTAGTTATGTACGTTATGTGTAGGTTGGTATGGAAATCAAACATTGATTTAAAAAAATAATGTCTTCTTCAGCTGCTTCATGTAGGTGAAATTTTGCCAAAAGACATCAACCAGCTAAGAATTCCTTAGTGGTTGCCTTTTTGGCTGTGTGTGAATTGGACATATTTTTCATAGACACGGATTTTTATAATCACCTATTATTGTCCTTGTTTCCTGTGTGCCAAAGCTCTAGCATGTTGGTCAGATGTTCATTATTCATTTTGTAAAACTCAGTGTATTAATAACTGTCACAACTTAATTGCTGACACAATTTTCTGTTTTGAAATTTTTTGTTTTGACATAATCCAGTTCTTTATTAGTGACAGCTTGCAGTTTGATCTACTGCACACAAATTTGACTCTACTTGATGGCTGTTTCAACAATAGTCACATGATGAAGCAGATATTTCAAAATGCCAAATTTTATGCTGTATTATACACTTTCATTCCCAGCCCACCTTTCCTACATTTTTTTTTTATTCAGCTGTAGATCACAGATGACGTCAAAATCTGGTGATAACCAAAAAGTGGCAATCAAGACATGTGCTAGCATGTCACCAATGTTCTTGCCACATTTGATTTCTTTCATAATCTATTATAATTGTACTGGCCTAAAGCATCTTAGATTCTATTTGTTTTATATGATAACAAAGCATATGTTGTTATTGGCAAAATCATCCAGGGATCTCATAACTGAGGAGCTCACTAACTATAAATGTTTTCAACTCCATATTAATTTCAAAACACTAATTGATAAACCCATCTGACTTTTTTTGTTGAAATAAAAAAAAATCACTGAAATCCAAGTGATTTCCACTTTATGCATGATTTGGTTCAACTTATATATTGGTACTAAGAAATCTGCACCTATATACCTTGAACAAGTATCTCTTATTGTATTTTTTGATGATCAAGTTTTTCCTTTCAAGTAATGATTATTATATTTATTCATTGTTATTGATCAATTCCTTTTCTTCAGTTTGGTAATTGTTCTTGGAATCATCATTGGAGGAATAATGAAGTAAGAGATGAGGAATTATGTATAATTAAGTTGATATAACTTGAATGTAATAGGGTCACTCAGTTCACAGTACCTCTGTATTTAGATTTATGTACTGGTATTTGTGCTTAAATTTCCAAAAGCTTTCAATATAATTAATCCCTTTAAACTGACTAATTACACCAGTATCCACATGAAAACACTGGGTAGTAGAAGATGATAAAAAAACATGGTTTAACTGTGATAAAGTTAACCCTTTAACTCCTAGAAGTGATAAACATGTAACTTCTTTCTATAATATTATGCACACAGGTAATGAGAATACTCAAAAAAATCAGGTGGAAGTTGTTATCTTAATCCAACACCAAATTCTCATAGCTAATTTACAAGGAGATGTGTAGCAGCTAGAGGAGAGAATTAACAATCAGATCTTGGGACTTTAAGAGTTAAGGTCTTTCTGTTCCAGTCATCAAACAATTCTTAATTTAAGTTGTGCTTTAAGATGTTCTTTGATTAGATGTTTAAAAAGAGAGTCACCAAAGTTGTTTTTGAGTTATTCGAAACTAGAGGACTTGAAGGTATAGAATTCTCTCCTTGTGAACTGTATCAGACACATCTTCATCTTTTCTTCTGTTGGTGTGGTACTTGGTAGTTGAGTCATTAAAACAGAGATGTTTTATTAAACTTCATAATAAACAACTGACTCAGTATTATACTTTTGCCTTAATCCAGGGGTATAGGCATTCTGGATACAGTTCCTACCTTCTCATCACGCACTTTTTTTCTGTTTATGCTGCCACCGTAAGTTGTTTGTGTTGTAAATAATTTTAAAGCCTCTTTCAAATCTTTAGGGTTGGTTATCAATATTTTATAAAGGAATACGTAACAGTGTAAAGTCACAAACAACATTACTTTTGAAAGTAAGGTAATGACTGTAACTATACATTTTTTTTTTTATGTATCATACCCTTGTGTTTTTAGTTGTGTGACAAAAAGCTGGAAAAGGTCAGCCAAAAGACTTTGGTCTATAGCAAAGAAGATTACCTCTCTAGATCCCTCTTAGCAAGCGATTTGTGTATCTTGCTCGATCTAATTTACATGACTATATTATTTTATGGTTTCTTTGTATTACTTTTTGGTTTCCAGAATTGTTCTTGAGGCTGGTTATTTTCTTCAGGACAAAGCATTTTTCAACAATATAGGAACAATCTTGTTGTATGCTGTTGTGGTATGTTTTATATTCTGATATTAAAACATTTTTTGTAATCTCTTAATCGAATATTACTTCAAACAAACCAATGTAAATTTCTTGCCAATGGATATTTTTATTGTTTGTGTAGCTCTTATATACATATGTGATCATTATTTTTTGGAGGTATTATCAGATCTGCATATAATGATATTGACTTGATTTATTTGTTTATTTGATGAAAGTATGATTGAGTGAGTGTTTTTTTTCTCTTTTTACTCTCTTTTTGTGGACAGGGAACAATTTTCAATACATTCACTGTAGGTAGGTATTCTTTATCTTTCCATTCACTACTTTTTTTAAAGCATAGCATCTCAATTCTTGAAAAATATTAATTCCTAAAATAGGCACATTTTCAAATTTCGTCACCAGGTCTGTCATTGTTTGGGGTATCATTTAGAGATGGGATGAACTTGACTTTGATGCATACATTGACATTTGCAGCCCTGATTGCTGCAGTGGATCCAGTTGCTGTAAGTTGCCTGACTGTGAATAAAAGTTTGGTATCTTGTGTCATGATTTTTAGCAAAGAACTGATCATGCTCTATTCAGGGTGACTTTTGATTATTTTTTTAGGTGCTGGCTGTGTTTGAGGAAATTCATGTTAATGTCATGCTCTATATCTTGGTGTTTGGTGAATCACTTTTAAATGGTAAGATGATCCTTTTCTGGGTCTCTTCTTTAATTGTTTTTCAAAGGTAATTCTTTTGAATTTAAAATGTGACTTGTTTTAGAGTTTCATCATTCTCTTCTCCCCATAATATCCATGCATTATTCAGAAAACAGGTGACAAGAATATTCAAATTTATCAGATCTAACACCAAATTCATGATACTAATTTACAAGCTAGAGGGGAGAAGTAACAATCAGATCTTGGGAGTTAAAGGGTTAACCTCAGGCTTATGGATAAAATAATTTGGTCCTGGAACATACATCTCCTTGTTACATATCGATAATTAATCAACTGGCTCTTTTTTTTTTCTCAGATGCTGTGACTGTAGTTCTATACCATCTCTTTGAGGCTTTAGCAGGATTTGATGTAGTCTCTTACAAAGAGGTGCATTTTCATGTCAAATATGTAAATGAACACTGTTTTTTTCAAAGGCAATCAATTAGAAGCAACTCCCCACATTAGTGTTATCATTGATCGAGTTAGCCCTTTACACCCTAACATCAGCATCCATATTCTCCATACTCTTCTCTCTGCTGGTTGGTACTGACAGGGAGAATTTGTTGAACAATCAAAGCTTTGTAGGCTGGGAATCATTTTCTTTATTCTCATGATCTTAATGAAATGATTCAGCAGTATAAGTGTTAAGAGAAATTAGATGCTGGTCACTTTTGGAGTTTAAAGGGTTGATACAAGCATTATTTTTTTTTTCAAATCATGGTTCCTGTTAAAATGAGATATTCATATTAAAAGTAAATTAACCAATCAACTCTTTCAGATCCTTATTGGCTTTGCTTCATTCTTTGTGGTCAGTATCGGAGGGACAACTCTGGGACTGCTGTGGGGTTTAGCCACAGCATTTGTAACCAAGTTTACTGATCATGTTAGAGGTAAGTTGTTACACTGTACAATCAGTTTGGTGGAGGACTTGACATGTAGGTATGCTAAGGGATCCAGTGGTCAATTTTACTCTTAGCAATACATGCTTGGTTGCCAAGCCTTTGGACAGGAGTGAAGCTAGGGGTGACCTTGTTATGATACAAAACTTGCTGCTTTTCAAGTGTAGATTACTTTGTTATCATGCTAACTAGAAACTGGTCTCTATCAAAATAAGGTCACCTTCAGCCTCACTCCAAATCAAAGGCTTGGCAACTGAGTACATAACTGGAAAATGGCAGTCCTTTTCTTCAGATATGTGGCAGTTCCAAACTCATGATTGAAGCTTATTTTGAGATAAGACAATTAAGATCATATTGGCGATGAAAGTAATATATGGCATGGTGGGCACAAAAGTGATGATAAACTTAAGATAAATAATATTGATATTAATATCATGATTTGGTGAGCTGGAATGGCTTTTTTCCTCAATTTTTTCTTGGTTCTCTTTTTGTAGTGATTGAACCCATCTTTGTGTTTATCATGAGTTACCTTTCATACCTAACAGCAGAACTGTTCCACTTGTCTGGAATTATGAGGTAATAAACATATAGTGAATGGTCTTTGTCTGTGATATGTTATCTGATTTTCAGCACCAATTTAAAAACTAGATGAGGTTAAGAAAAACCAATTACCCGATCATTTCTTCATAAAGGTTACTAACAGTACCTTTAATAGATATATATCTTATTGAACGTTTTGGTGACTATGTAGTATTGCTGGGTTTTTTTAAGAGCTGTGCTGTATTTTGATGATCCTGCAGAATGAGCCAAAATACAGACATACAGTAAAAATACTCAGCGATCAATACTACACAACAAAATATTTAAATGAGTTATTTGTTATCCAATTGTTTTATTTTATGGGCATTTCTTATCAGGCAGAAAAAGCAAAGTAGATCGAGAAGCACAGTGTGTGTAGGCAACCAGTTAAACAGTTATGTTTTTTTACAGTACAAAATAACTTACTGTCCAAATATCGAGTGATATTTATACTCGATTCACACATAATTTGTACTCTTCACAGTGCATTTGGATAAAAATTTAATCAGTTACTGCTTAGCTGTACACAGGATTAAAAGAAAACTATCACATTAAAAATATGAAATAATATGAACCACATGCAAGTTAGGCAAAATACCTTCAATTATCTTTTGATGCTGATAAGTTATTCACTCGTGAAAAAAAAAATTTGTTCACTATTTAACTTACGCTTGCAAGAAAATACAAAATGCTCTCTAATGATAATAAATGAGGTTACAAGTCTGAACCATGAAATGCTAGTGAAAGTAATCTATAGTTAATAAACTTGATTACCTTATTCTCAATACAGTATTGTCACATGTGCTATTGTCATGAAGCCTTATGTTGAACTTAACATCTCAAGAAAGTCCCATACAACAATAAAGTACTTTCTGAAGATGCTCAGGTGATTTTGTCTTGTTTCATACTATTTTACGACTGTCTGAGTTCTAATTACTGTAAGTTCTGAATAGTCTTGTACATACTCATTCATCTTTATAACAACTGCAAGTATGGTTAAAGTAAATGGCTTGAACCCAGCAGTTACAATAACCTGAGCATGCAGAAGTCATGTGACTCCAGTGATGTCTTCCCCTCAGACTGTTTCAGAACCACTCTAGCCTAGAAAATCATACCTTGAGCCACTTTCTTGTTTTTGCAAGTGAACATCATCTGTGATCTCTCACTCAAGAGATTTAAGGCAACATGGAACCATTTGTTAATATGATCATAGGAAATCATTCACTGATATATATATCTTTTTTTAAAAAAAGGTTGTTATACATATTTTTCCATAACAAATAGTTTTCATGTTGCTGTGGGTCTGCACAGTTGTGATAGATGGCAGAAAACTCCAAACTGTGATAACATCAGTGACTTGCTGGACTGTTGCCTCATGTGCCACCTTTTTTACAACATTTTTTAAATCATTTGTGATCTACCACTGAAGAGATGCGAGGAAAGATGGAAACATTTGTTTAATATGATTATAGGAAATCCTTCAGTGATAGGTTTATAAAAAAAAGGTTCTTATACATATACATATTCAACCATGATTATCAGGAGGCCAAATGAAAACTAAAAGAACAAACAAATGAATAATAATGAAAGTTGAATGGGGGAATGAAAGCAGTTAGACAAGCAAACCAACAAATATTTGCTTACAAAATTGTGTCATTAATAATTTCTTTTTCTTGTATCTATTTGCAGTTCAAGTAGTGAAACTCTAATCTTTATGTTCCTTGGAGTGCAAGTGGTTAGCTGGGGTCATGAATGGAACACAAAGTTTGTTTTTGTCACCCTGGTATTTATCCTTGTTTTCAGGGCCCTAGGTGAGCTATACTTTTATCTTTCTACTGATAATTTTTGTGCCTACTGTGCCTTCCTTCTAGCAAGGCTGTACACACTATGTTACAGTGTCGTGTAAGTCTGTGAACCTTCCCTCAAACCTCTCATGGTTTTAAACATGGCGGAATATTGTGAGATAGTTGTATTGTCTCTTTTGTCTCATCTTGACTTGATCCATTGCGCTAGGTACAGAGAGTGTAGAAAGTGGAGAAGTTATGTATCAAAACACATTTGATACATACTTAATACATGTACCTACACTATTAATTTCCTGCCCTGTCCCAGTGGCCTGTCAACAGCCCAGTGTACAAACTGTTCTAACCAAGTCCTCCTTTTGTTACCATTTTCTCGTTGATAAGAGATGTTCATTAACCCCTCTGCATGTTTCACCAAAATTTTTTGCTGCTGTACTCTTCTACTATACAGCAGTAGGCACATGCAGTCATAGACTACTTTTTATTTTTCTTGATGCCACAAAGACTTTAAAAAATGTTAGAGAGGAAGCATTGAACTTTAACCCTTTGATCCCTAAGAGTGACTAGCATCTAATTTCTCCTTACATCATCACCCCTTAATCAAACATTTAGGTTATGAGAATAGAGGAGATGATCACCAACTATAGAAACTGACTCGATTGTTAAACAAATTCTCCTTATCAGCACCTAAGGAAATGTATAGAGAACACTATGGAGAATATGCATACTGAAGTTAGGGTGTAAAGGGTTGAACTACTCTATAATCAGGCTAGTGTATAGTAGACAGTACTTGTAAATACACATAATCCTGATATGTTAAAGAACAAAACATGATACTGCAAGTGTAGAAGAATTACTAAAATTCTAAAAGTTCAACTGTTGTTGTTCTTCGTGGTTTAGTATATGTATGAAATGTTAAGTCGTTTGTCTCCAAATAGAGTCAGGGTATCTAATATAATGATAATGACATTGTGACTGCTATCTTGTGAGTCTTAATCAAGCGACGTGTCTGAGGGTCAAGTGTAACTGTTTGTTTTTTTATTTATTTCAGGGGTGGTCATCCTCACATTCCTTGCTAATAGATTTGGTCGACTTAATAAACTTAGTGCTGTAGACCAATTTATTATGGTAATCATCAATTTTATTGTTATCTGCTATGGCTAACTACATGAGCAGTACAAATTTGCTCCCTACACCCCTATCCATTGTTGGAAATACATTAATACAATGAATCACTCAATCAAAACCTGTAACTGTGCTCGTTAATTCAAAACTAGTGTTGATAAACATTTGATGTAAACCTTACACAAATTTATCTGTTAGTACCAAAATATGAGAACCTGGGTCCAGTTTTTCAAAGGCAGGTTAGTGCTAACCCAGGGATAAATTTATTTCATTTTTTTTTTTCCTTTGTTCTTCTGCTCTTTTTAGAGCATCCAATCATAAAATTGGAGGAATGAAGAACTTAACTGATCTTACTTTTAAAGCTTTCAGATCTGACACCAGATTTCACGCTAACCCTGGTTATCTTAAGCCAGCTTTGAACAACGCGGGTTATTAGACTTTATAGACGTGGATTCCAATTGTGTTTTGGGATTCCCCACTAAAAATTGCTCCTTTTGTCTTTGTTTTTAGAGTTATGGCGGTATCAGAGGTGCTGTGTCATTCTCCTTAGCAGTTTTACTGGACGAACATCATTTTCCACAGAAGAACATGTTTGTCACGACCACAATTGTTATCGTCCTTTTCACAGTTTTCTTTCAGGTAAATGAGCCATATGGTGGTTAGCAAATTTTCTCAAGTTTGCAAACGAACACCAGGGCGAAACTCTCGCTCTTCCACGCACAATTCCGTAGCATTGCTCTTCAATCTTTTAAAAAGGCACATGAAAACCGCCAGCTGCACTCTGATAAAGTCAAATGGAAGTAACGGATATTAGTATTATACATTATTATTTCTTATTGTTTTAGGGTATGACAATCAAACCTCTTGTGCGGATTCTTCATGTGAAACTGAGGGGAAAGGAACAGCTTAGTATGTGTGTAGAGCTCAATGAAAAGGTAATTTCCCTAATCTGGTCGCGTCGTACAAAAGTTGCAAACCAGTCGTGTAATTTTATGTGGCTCGTGCTTTATTGTCGTCTCGCTTAGTAACTACACCGGATTCCTTATTTCTGTTCTCTAAAACAAGAATCCAGCAATTAATTAGGAGTGTTCATGCAATACTTCTGTTTGAAATACTGGGTGAATGTTAGTTACCCCACAAGTTTATTGTAATGATTCACTGGTCTCTGTTTATACTCGTAATTGAAGAGAAAGACTGGGATGCTGTGTAAAGAACCCAACGACTAACGAAGTTCCCATGCATAAAGTTGAAGTTGTCTCAAAACATTTAACACATTTTCATCCCTTTCTATAGTTTTTAGACCACCTTGTGGCTGGAATTGAAGAAATAAGTGGCCATCATGGTCATGGGTATTACTGGGTAAGAGTTTTCTGTTTGAGATTTGTTTACTAGAACAGTATTCAATTGAGTGTCCCAAGTAATCCGAAATTTCATTGATATTGCTGTACTTCGCTCAGTGATTGGTCCAGAATACTCGTGCCACTCTCTCCGGCAACCAATCAAATGGAAAACTTAAACCAATTGCGATTTGGTCGCCCGCGTTTTCCCGCGCTTTAGGCAGTTTCTTTGTTTTTACTTTGAATCCCCGTTGGTTTTTGAAAACATTTTCCTTTTCCCTAAATGGCCGTTGTGATTTCTTTGGTGTTATGATACTCCATCAAAAGTGCCCCAACTCATTTACTGATGTAGTTTTGTAATTTCTCTGACGTTTTCATAATTAACAGTTTACAACTGATATTTCCTCATCCTTCGTTCCTTAGTAAATTAAACTTGACAAATTGATAACTTGATCATTTCTGATATGACCAGTAGCCATGGAAGCTCTTTAATTGCACCTTTCCAGTTTCTTTAGCCTGAAGAAAAAGGGGTTGTTTTCTAAAGATAATTTTAAAAATGTGTTTTGTAGTATCATAATAACTCGGAAAGGGGGCTGAAGTTGAATGGGGAAAAATACAGTTTAAACCTCGACCAATCAAAGCACGCGTTTCCTTAAATCACATTTGCAATGGAACCATTTATTCTCATGATGGTTTTTGTTTTGCAGGAAATGTTTGAGTATGCACACACACATTATCTGAGAAGGTGGTTAATACGTGACGGTGATCGGTTTGTCCAAGATGAAGACATTTTGCTGGCCTACAGAAGACTGGCTTATAAGTAAGGCAGATCAAATATATTTTGTTTTTAGTTGACGACATTAACTGTGATATCAAGGTGCTATGGGTTATTAGTTCCATGATTACCGTGACGAATATAGACTACAATGTAGACAGCTTAAGAGCAGAGTATGGTAGAGTTCTATATAGTTGGTGTTGTTTGATCTTTTCATTCTTAAGAGTGTTTGGCTTCCAATCACTCCTTACAGTTTTAGCGTTGAATCAAATGTAAAGGTCCCCAGAATGAAGGAAATGATAATCAATTTGAGAAGCTCCTGATTGTCAAACAAATCTTCTTTGTCAATACTTTGGGAAGAGCGAAGAGAATAGTGTGCTGAATTTGACTATTAATGTTAGCGTGGAAAGAGTTAATGTGATTGGTGTAGTTTGGTGAAGCTGAGGTTGTTTAGTGGGGTTGGTACAGATCGGTAAAGTTTTGGTGTTTGATGAACATTGAAATACTAGATTACTCGGAAGCGTACCGAAAGAAAACCGAAATTCAGTTAAGTCTGCTCCAAGAATCTTTGAGTTTTTGTACTGGTATCAACTGAAGAGCCGTAGAGCTGATGATCTATAACTTTTTACAGGGGTGAATTGTGAATCGGGAAATAACTTAAAACTTTCTCCTATGTATTATCTTTCAGAGATGCCTTGACACGCTTAGAAAGAGAAGGGAGCGGATCAGCCATACATCCCTCAAAGTAAGGATTATCTCGCGAACATTAGCGTTTTTCAGTCTCATTATTCTTGGCTATCTTTCCTTTAGGGTAATTCATTGTTATCAACTGAGTTGAAAACGTAAATTGACCACCGTAAAGAGTTTTAAGGCTGACGTTTCGAGCGTTAGCCCTTCGTTAATCGCTCTGACGAAAAACGAAACGAAACGAAACGTCAGCCTTTAAACTCTTAACGGTAACCAATTTACGTTTCAACTCATTTGATAACACTAAATTACCCTGTTATACTCTCCCGCCAACGCATCACCATAGTTTCTTTAGAAACTTATTCCCTTTCTTCATTTATTTTCCCCTCACACCAGCCAAACCGATGTGAAGACGAAGAAGCTCCGTCGGGGGTGGGGAGAGCTTTAACTTTTTATTATGTCCTGTAGGAGTCAATTACAGTTCGAGCTATACTAACAGGCTTACATTCAACCTTTCTGAGGGTGATGAGCATTCCTGTCTGTTACATACTTGATACTCCCTCCTTCAGCGGTAGTAAAAATACTTGTTTATTAATCTTGCAGTATCCCAATTGAACTGTTGGCAAAGAGTGCGCTTGAAGCGTCAGCCATCTGTGCAAAGTAAGTGGCGTTGTTAGCAGTGCACTTTGCCCCATTGACCCGTAAGAGTGACTAGCATCTAATTTCTCCCTACAATATCATCCCTGAATCACTCATTATAAAGTCACGAGAATAAACAAAATGAAACGAAGTCTCCTTGTCAGTTCTGTAGGAAATGTGTAGAGAAGAGTTTGGAGAATATGCATATTGATGCTATGGTTTAAAGGGTTGAAGATTACCCATTGTAATTAATTCTGCATCAAATTACCACTCCGTCTGAGTTTGACCCTGTTTCGGAAATTTTGAAGCCATAACGATCACATTATTTTTGCTGGATCAGATACCTTTTTCTTTACACGTTCAACGTGGCATGAAAAAGTAACTTCGTTTAAAACCTGTGCTCAGCCATATTCAAATAGGATTTATTCAGTCAAATGCAGCTATTAACTTTTATATGCTCAAAGTGATCGATTGAGTTTAAATCGCTTTAACCCTTAACACCCTAACATCAGTGTGCATACCCATACCCATACATTCCGTAAGGTGCTGACAAAGAGAGTTTGTTTCACAATCAAGAGCTTCTTTGGTTGCTGATAATTTCCTTTATTATCGTGACCTTGATGTGTGATTTAGGCATGATATTGTGAGGAGAAATTAGATGCTGGTCACCCTTAATGTACAAACGGTTAAAGTTAATCGTATGGGAACCAGGCTAAATCATCGCTAACTACTCAGATAATAGGGCGACGCCTATCGTCCAATTAGAACTGAGTTGGTACTGAGGCCCTGTTTCATACGATGGCCTGTATCATTCCGATCTTTTCCAAACTGAGTTGATTGGGAC